TTTTAATTATTGTGTCAGACGTTTGATCTCCTTTGGATTCCCACTAATTAATGTGATGCTTGTTTAGCTTCTGTTAATAGAGTGCATTCAGATCATTCAGAGAAATACTTCTACTTTCATGTGAACAGAAGTGAAGCACTGCTCAGCTTGCCACTCTGCTAGGGAGCTTTTCCTAGCTCAAGTTTTCCCCACTCAGTGGCAGCATTTTTTCCACTATAGCGCCAAAAAGTAAATGGGATCCATCATAATTTTTGCTGATGCCTGGGGAGAACAAAAAAAACAGGACAGAAGAAAAGTGAGCGGGAGAGTGCACCCAGAGCAAGAGAGATTTTGTGGTAGATTGTGAAATGTTTTATGGTCTCTGACCCACAGTTGTACGCCTTCATCTCTTATTAGCAGCAGCTAATTAAAGAGCAGAGATGAGTGGCTAGCAGTGACCAGGCTTGCTGCAGGGAAAAGTGAAAAGTATCTGCTGACACATCCCCAGGCTCAGTGTAAACATACAGCACACAGCAATGGTGTCTTAACCCCCTGCTGTCACAGCTCTGAGAAAGTTATGACTGCTGAATTTGGTACGTGACGTGAATCCATTCAGGAGCACGTTCAAAACAACCTATAGCTTATTTTTCTCTTCTCTTGAATCAATGTAGTTATCCTTTATGCTTTAAAAAAGACAATTGTTGACGATACTGGGAACTTATATTGCCAGATGGCAGCCCAACAAGGTCAGAGCGTTGTTGTGAGCGGATTGTACAGTGCTGAGTTGTCAGTTGGGTTCATAATGTGCAGAATATTATCGAAAACTGAAGCCTCAGTCCAAGTATTATCTCAGCACAGCTCAGGACGCGGCCTGCTGACAGCATATCTATTCCAGATGGAGGAACCAGCTTCCCTCTGACCTCTTTTTTCATATTTTTCATTTGTCTTGGTTTTCAGAGACCTTCTTTGTCACACTGGCAAAATGTCTGTGGTTTCATTTTTGGAGGAATCATTGTGGATGCCATTGTGTTTGTTTCTAATATTAAAGCATGGCCTATTAATGCCATGTCTCTCTGTGACTGTGAAGTTTAACAGGCGGCTTGAGGTGGCCACTGTTCTCATACTGGATGGATTCAATATATTTTAGCTCTGAAAATATTCACCAAAGCTGAAGAACTTTCAGTGAAGAAGACGAAGCTGCAACAGGCCAGCAGCTGAGTGCTGTTCACTGTTAAAAGATGTTTACTCATTCCTAACTTGATTTGACATTGCCATCACAAACACTGTGAATAATAGACAGCCTCAATCTGCACACCTGTCCTGTATCTATGCTGTAACTTGAAAAGAGGTCCACGAGGCCCTCAGGGTCTTCTGGCTATCACTGCTTACAGGACTCAAACAGCATGGAATCGTTTTAATCGTCATTGATAATAGAGTTTGATAATATGTAGTGACAGCTCCATTCGGGAAGTTCAACTAACTTGTGGCAACAAAAAGCTTTCATGCATCAAAATAGCTTAAACACAGTTAAAAAATTCAGGGACGCTTTGAAACAAAATCTTAAATTCAGTCCAGAAAAAAAAAAAGAAAAGTTGTATATAGACCATACTGCTGTTCTACCATTACACACACACACACACACGTACAGGGCATGAGGTGACAGGCCCTAGATGCGTTTAACAGACAGACGCCAGCCCCCACCGGCCCTTTAATGACGAGACAGACTGGGCTGATCTCCAGAGGTGTGCTTTCCCCATCAAGCCGCCTGCTCTCACACCAGGCCAGACAGGAAGATACCAGTAATGGAACAGACTGAAACCAGCAGGTAAAACACACTACGGTGACCAGCCAAAAACCTATTACAACCTTAAAATGCTGAAGTTTTATGATTTACTGAGAAAGATGAACAATGACTTCAGGTAAGAATGTCTGCGTTGATTTATTTTTTTGTGGAGAACAGCTTAAAGAAGTTAACTGAAGCTGGTACAAATTCACTCGTTGAATCTAATATGCATAAATGCTCATGATTTCCTTCTATTTTGTCTTTATTAATTGTTGGTTGTGAAAACTTCGACTTCGACTTGTTTGTGGAGTTCAGTCTGAAGTCATCAAATTTGTGGTTTGAGTCGGACTCAATTCCAAGTCATGTGGCATCAGTCCATTACAGGGGCAGCTGCTGTATGTAACAAAAAAATCACGTTATCGGTTGTTAAAGGTATTATAATCTGCAGCAAATTGTTCTATCAACACTTAATCGAACTCAGATTAACTCAAGTAATGTACAGCCCTTCATGACAAAGCATATTTAGAAGGACTTCACATGGATCTAGAAGTAACTTAAAAATAAAACTGTAAGAAATGCCTTCTTCCTCTCTCCTTCTCCAGGATGTTCTGTCTTTTCTTTTCCTTTTTTTGGGGACATGGAAATTGTAGTTAGTATTGTACTGTATTGTGCTGTACTGTAACAATACCTAGTACTGCAGGTGGAAAGGGATGTGTTGTCTCAGATGGAGTTCAGTGTACTCTCACTATCTACAGGTTGTTCACACTCTACAGTGCAACAGACCTTTTAACCTGCATGTTCATATCACCTGAAGCCTTCGGCATCAATACAGCCCTCCCAGCACACTGAGGAAAAAACACAACAACTGGGAGCTGGCCACAGTGCTATGAGTAATCGGTTGCACACCAGAAAAAGAAGAGCACTCTGACTGTTGTCTCTACTTCCATAAAAGTGTATGATGAGCTGTAGCTGTTTAAATGTGAAGCCACAATCTTAGAACTAAAGGCAAAATATCATTAGTTTTGTTTATACTTGCCTCAAGAGACAAATATCTGGAATTGAATTACTGAACATCTTGAACATGTCTCTGCAGATCCAAAGGTGTGAACCATTCATCAGCGACGGAATGATACTCATAAATCTGCAGAGATGGCTCTCTGATTTATTTGGGCCTAAAGACATATTTAGGATTAATCTGAGCCAGGTTTAATCAATCCTGTGTCCTCTTTTAAAGAAGGCGTTTGTTGCCGTGGGATGTCCTGTTAATCTTCACACAGAACAGATGAAGTCGATATCGAACCACTCAAGGTGTAGGACAAAGAGGAATTGGCTGTCAGCCCACTTAAATCCACTTTGTATGCTGCTTGTAACAGTAATGTTTTGTGTTGTACATCCCTCTTTCTGATTTCTTCTTGTCTGTTTCATCTTTTTGGTGTCTATTTTAGCACTTTGATGCCTTCAAAGATGACGCACATGGTTGCAAATGTCTTCGTAAAGTTTAAATATTGCAAACTGTATTCATACAGTTCAAGTTTAAATAGTAATTTTACCCCTGCTAACTTTAATAACCGACCGGGGACTACAGATGGAAACGTGCCATTCTAGGCTCCTGCAAATAATGCAAAATGATGAGAAGACTGTCTTTGCCAAATAAACCAATTAAGAAAGCAAAGTGAAAAAGCTGTGAATCGTGTTGGAAAGGGAAACTCACTTGCCCCACAGGATTCACTGAAGCAATTCATTATCTTTAGCCATTTGGAGGCACTCTACAGTGCAGCTTGTTGGGTTCCAGGGAGCAAAGGCCAATTAGGCTGTTTGAAAGTGTGTTTGGAGGAGGTTAGTGCTGCATCTGCTGCACAGCATGCGTCTGCATATTTCTGTGGGGCAACAGGGACTGATCACAGCTGAAGCTCAGTGGGCCAGAATCAACTGGCAATCCAGGTCTGTCTTGTGTGCCATGCAGATCAATACATGTGAGTGACTTGTCTGATGGTCAACTGCAATCTAACAACAATAGAGGGGTTAGCAAGAATAATATCAGTGTGTATAATGACACACACACTGAAGAAGACTTTCACTGAGACTTTAGCATAATTAAAAGACTAAAACTAATGCCAACACAGAGGTAAGAGCCTTTTTTGGGTGCAGTTTGCATTATTCACCAATCACCTCTGGTAGCTTTTTTTGTGTCAAGCCCTGAAGTAAAGTGCTGCATTGTGACTGAAAATTAGTGCAATAAAAAGAAAAGAACAAAAGGGAAGAAAAGGCACTCTTGGATTCTCCTTTGTCATTACCAAAGTTGGAACTTTTGGTGGAACATGAGTACCATCTGATGGCTAACAGTGGGAACTGCATTCAAATCATGTTAGTCCAGAGCTGATCATTTGCTTCAACCACACAGTATTTAGCCTTCAAAATTAAGGCTAGTAGTGTTGCCTTTAAAGTTAAATCCCTGAGCTGCATTTCATAACACTCCTTTGTTTCGTTACATAGCCTTACATAACCATATTGTGCCATTACAGTATGGTAAAACATGAATGTTTTTATATACTATATTGCAGCTCTTTACCGTAGATGTAGACTGTTACCAAGTATACATGAGGTGAAAATAATAAAAATGAATCAATGAATTTCTATGCAAAACAGGTTTGTGCATTGTTCGTTTTTTGACTGTATAGATCCATATAAATGTCAAGGTTATATAACCTGTCAACAATGCAGTAAGTATTATGTTCTTACCAAGTCTGTATGGTAACTACTTGCACTGAAATGATGAATAAATTAATCAATTTGTCATTTAAGAGAAAATAAATGGACAACTATTGTGAGTCTCAAACATGAAGATTTGCTGCTTTTCTGAGTTTCATGTTATTTTAAGTGGACTGTCTTTGAGTTTTGGACTGTCAGACAGAAACCTTTCAAGACATCACCTTGGGCTCTCAGACTAAACAAGTAATACATTATCTTAAAATTAATGTAAAAAATATTTTTGTGGCAACACATATGCAAGAGTCATAAAGAGCAGGGACTTTTGGGCTATTTGTGTTAAGAGAACTCTCCATATCTTTATCATCAGACTTGATCAGCCTACAAACACCAAAGTGTTTTCACAAAGCACAGAAATAATAACAGTGGATAATTATGCTTGCATTTGTTGTCAGAGATTATTGATGCTATGGGCTCTTAATTGTGTCTAAATCTCCAAGAGAATGAAAACAAAGGTACAAATAACACATCATTGACTTTCCAGGCATATTTAATTGGCACAATAAACACAATACAAAGTATTCAGTGCTCCAAAACACAAGCATAGGCTACCAAATGGAACACAAACAAAAAAGTGCAAAAACACACCATTTGGTAGACCTTACAAAGGAAAAGAAGTCTTACTTTGCAAAGCAGATAAAGTAATGGTAAGACCTCCAATAGTTAAAATAGATGTTTTTCCTTTTTAAACTTTATTTATATATTCATATATATTCTCTCTAATTCCAATGTGCCATTTCCACTGTACAGGCAGGTTATTCCGGGGTATCGACTAAAAGGTTTGTGGTGGTCTCATTGCAAAGAACTGGCAGGCAGATGGCAACTATAAAGCTACTGCTGCCCTCAAAGCGGTGATCTGCGCCTCATCAGATTTATCTTGCCATTAATGACTGAAAACAATTAAAGAAACAAAAGTGGCTCGTTTGATAGCTTGATGTATCAAGCGATGTGTGGTGAAAAGCAAACATAGTTTGTTGAAGCTTGATTCAGCAGGGATTTGATCACTCCTTCCATCAAAAGTCCAAGTGGTCAATGTGTTCATCATGCCATCATTTACCAAGTGTTTCACAATTTGCTGCATCAGATGAATTTTTTAGAATGGCTTCATCCAAAACAATGTAACTGTTACTCATATTTGCAGTTAAGGGATTTTATTCCCATTCAGGCAGAATAAGCTACAACATAGATTTCCAGCTTTAAAAAAAAAAGACAAAAAAAAGCTGAATCTCAACTCAACATCGTCAAATATAAAGCAAAAATATTAAAATCACGTACATTATGTGCCGTTAAACAGGGGTGAATCAGTGGACATCATTTCTCTCGTCTGACAGTTTCATGATTATAAAAAGTCACAAATTTGACCCCAAAAACTTTTGAGATAATCACATCTTAAACCTTTCACCATACCACAGCTAGCATCAGCGTCATCCTTTCTCCCAGACACCCAGTTAAGGCCCACAACAGGTGATTCCGGGTCACATTTCAGCCACAAACTCAAAGGAAAATGTGGATCACAGTATATTTTCATATACATTAGACAGTTAAGTGGACCATCCTAAAAACATCATGTGTAAATCATATCGTCATAGGTTTTATTTTTTGGGTAAACTGTTGCTTGGACCGAGTGGAGGCATTTCCACAAGGCGATAAATTGTAAACTAACAACAACTTGCGTTAGACTCTCTGATCAAAACATACAATACTAACATTTTTACATACATAATGTACTGTGTACTCAAAGTAAAACAAACACACAAGACATCCATGACCTACCTATGCATAAGATCATTCAGAAAACAACATTTCGGGTCCCTATCGTCCTTTACTGACAGTTTTGAGATTAAACTGGGGAACACTGGGAGGAGGAGTTCAGTCACGCGCTGTTAAAAACAGGAAAACATGCTTTCTGAACCAACAAAGGAAAAGAGATAGAAAAAAAAAGATCCACAGGCACTGAACCCAAACAGTAGCATTCAGGTTAAATCAAACAGTATGACCAGGCAATGGGGGTTAACTGAACAGAAAGGCTGGAGGCAAGGGGGCATAAGCTTACCCCCACCACCTCCTCCAGGTTGCCAGCAGAGGGGCGAGGAGGAAGACAGGGCAAGCATGCAGCACACCACAACGCTGAGAGGCCCCCGTCCCGAGCTGTTGCAAAAACAAAAAAAGGGGGGCTGCTCAGAGCAGCCAAGGGATAGCCTGAGCCGCCTGAGGAGGGAATGGGGCGTGGAGGTGAAGAGGGTGGGGGTGGTCAGAGAGAGGAGCAGACACCAGTGACAAGACAAGAATTTGTAGGATGAGTGATGGAGAGTTATGACCCATCATCATCATCTCCTTTCCTTCCAGCTGGTCCTGGATATGTCGGGGTGATCGTGTTGTGGAGAAAATGTGACATTGCAACACACAAGACCTTTAAAGTAAGACAGACACACAGGCATTCGGATCAAACACACAACCAGAAGCACATAACATACAGACAGATGATTAGCACCTTCACTTCTTCCATTTCCAGTTGGGTGAAACCTGCAAATATGGAGCTGATTTTAGTGGGAGGGGTGGACATGAGTGTTTATAAAAAAAACCCTGATGCAGGTAGATGAGCCCTGGATGAATCTCCTCTGAGTGAGTGCAGTTCAGGACTCACACACATACACACCGCTGGATGAAGGTGTTTGACAGCTGGCCTTATTGTCCGTGCTGGTCCCCGTCCTTTCTCTGACCACACCCTCTGTCACTTGTATGCAATGGGGGCAAAGGTAAGGAAAGAGAGAAGTGGCAGAGCCGGTCGGGGAGGCGGGGGGCGTTCAGAGCGAGGAAGCCAACAGCCACGTTCATGACCGCGCGTGGTGCAAGCGGAGTTAGTCACATTAAGAAGCAAAGCTTTGCTGAAAACAACAAAGAGCATATTGTAGACTGTGGTTGTGACTGCTGTATGGGTGTTAAGAATGGAAAAGGTTATGAGTGCTAAAATTTAGATGGATTTTTCTTATCATCGCTTCTTACATCTTAAGTTGTGACAGCTCTGCAGTGGAAGCGTGGAAGCAACACTGCCGATACGCTTTATTCTTGTAATGGTTTGGGAAATTGAGATGTGTTCTAAAAGGCCGTCTCTCTCTTTTAGATTCAGGTCATCTTTCGCTTTCTCTCTCTGACTCTGTGAGCGCGTGAGGAACATGGTGGTTTCTCCGAGGCTGCTTGCCCTGCCATTCCTCAGCCAGCCTCACACTTTTAGGAATCTGCAATTCAAAAAAAAAAAGGATACGAACAAACAAACAAAACAAAAAAATGAGAAAAGTAAAAGTTAGACAGCTTTAAAGGAAAATCGAGTAAAAGACAGCAACCCAAACATTCAAATATGGAGAGAAGGAAGAAGTCCTTGTATATATGAAATTACTTGAAAATGACAGACAATACTGTGGTGTCAGCATGAATATAATCTGAACACACTGCATGTGTGAAAGATCTGTGTTTATCTGAGAACCTTTCAGCTTATTCCACTTTAGTTTTCGTCTGGCTTGAATACATGTTAGAATGCAGCCGCTTTACTTTGTCACAACATGCTGAAATCACGTCATGACAATCACAAACATCCCACAAATGCTGCATCATGCACCGGAATGCAAACACTCTTCAATAAAAATTGACATGAAACGTGTATTTACAGCGCTGCTGATGTAAAATGGCATCCCACACTGTGCTGCGCCAGAAACAAGCCACAACAGCTGATTAAAAAGTGTGAAAGTGAGTTCAGCAAAGGCTTACGTCATGATTTACGAAAGAGATGATTTCTGAGTCAATGCCAGTCTTGTCTTATTGTAGCAGCGAAGTGAAATGACATAGAGGCCACACACACCGTGCTTTTACAGTAAATGCACAGTTCGCAGGGGTGCTGCTCAGAGACACATGCAAGAAACCACAAAGCTTTAAAGTCGTGACCAGCTCCATGTCTCAGCCCAGTCTCACCATATAGCTTAGCACAGCTAATTCTCAGTCCTTTATTCCTTTACCACTGGCCTGGAAAAAAAGGACCAGAACAGCCCAACACTATCATTATCAAAAGGTGGATTAAAAAAAAGAAAACACAATTTAAGGGGGCTATTAGTTTCTAATTTGATTAATCATTTTATTAAATGACTCCTAACCAGGGGAGAATAATTCCTTTCACAACCCTTCCATGTAACAGTACTATGATTAATCTACAGCATGCAACATCTGAGGGGCCGAGGCGCAATTTTTATTTCATTTTTTTTCTGTTTAGCCTACAAAAATATCTTTTTTATATGTATTCATATTTTACAGCAGATTTAAATTACATTTTTTAATAATGTATTAATTACATTAGCATGATTGCACATTGAGCATGCTTTCTTTTTAGGTACAACAAGTGACCAGAACACAACAACTTGCATGATGATTCCACCTTCACTTGATGTTCATTGCCACTTCAGATGGTGCATACATTCACTCAGCAGAGTTTACTTCATTTCTTACCATACTGCCTCAAATATTTGCCTGAGGATGTGGATCAGATTCTAGATTAATGTTAATTTAAGTGGAACACAGTTATCTGAAGTTCTAAATCCTAACAAACTCCAACCAAAAAAACACCCCCAAAAAATATGTATAAAAAAACTAAAAATCAAGTACTGTGCATTTGAAATATACATGTGATCATTGTGAGTGGGGTGATTTATCCCATCAAGCCAAGCTTTGACTGGGAATGTGTCACGTTTATATTTTGTACAGCCACTAGGTGGTACTGCAGTGAATTGGAGGCGAAGGAACTAAAAGCTTCTTTTCACACACTTCCTGTACACAACATCTGTCTGGCTCAGCTTGCATTCAGTGTAACGTCCTAAACCAAATGTTTTGTTCAGAGCTCAACAATAGTGAACAGTTACACACACTCACACTATCTGCCACAACTGTCCCAACTCATTTGAGGCACAAATCTGACTGGTCCTTCTCTCTGGGAGAGACAGGAAGTTTGTGTGTGTGTGTGTGTCTGAGCTACCAGTAACAATCTTTAATCTCCATAACTTGCCCCAGTCATACAACAGTTAATGGAAACTTACTGATTCACAGAAACAAATACACACTTGCTGAGTTAAATGTATGTCATAGCACCTTTGGCATTTGTTTCCAAAAAGACCTCGACGTAGGACGTGGGGACGTAGCCCTCCTCATCCTCATTCCTGCGCACTCGTGTCCAGCCGTCTCCTTTGTCTTCTTCTATGACGTACAACAGCTCGCCCTCCGCCACAGCGATAGTGCCCTCATTATGACCTGGAGGAGGAGGGAAAGAAAAGAGGAGAGAAATAAGAGAAAAGGGCAAGATAAGAGCATGAATTCAGCGAATAAGAAATGTCCACCCTGTACACTTGGAGGAACTACCTTGAACTAACTTCATGCAGATAACAGCTTCATTTGTAAATCAGATTTCCTGGAAACAAAGGGGAAGCAAAATCATTAGCCTACAGAGTGAGTAGGCCAACCTGCACACACACCACAGCAGTCTGGGTATCAGATAACAACATCCTGCAAAAGGCCCACAGTCCACCTCTTATGGAAGAAAGTCGTGACTTTTTAAACTCCAGTTTTGGGCAAAACTATCACACGCTCACAATCACTCTTACTACTGTGGTGTATAATATATGTGCATTTGACGCACACCACACTACTTAATGACATTTCTTTATTTAATCTGTCCAGTAATAAGTAGGTAACTTGTTTTATTTATGTATACAACAGAGGCTAAGAGAATGATTGTCTCAAATTCATAAGAAAATTGGGTATAAATCTTTGTGGATATTTCTGAATTAGCAGCTGCAGGACTGCACGGTTCTACCCAACTAAATACTAAATTAATACACTGGACCAGTAGTTCCCACTCTGTGGGTTACACCAGATAATCACAGGTATACAAATGATTATGTTAATGTTAATTTATTTCTTACTTCACTATTTTTGCTTTTTTCATGTAGAATACTGCATATTTATCCTTAAAATGGATAATGTAAAATACTTGAGGCTTATTAGGGCCTCTAAAAGTAAAATACTGGATAGTCTCACCTATTAAGGCTTCTAAAAATCCTTAAAATACATAAGATACTTTCAACTTTTCAGGCCTCTAAAATTCCTTCAAATGAGACAAAAAAATGGATGGAAAATCACTGCTCATAACCTCACGACCTCATGAGGGGGTCACAATAGCTTCATTTCAAACTGTCACAAACCATAATGGAAACCACTGCATTAGACAATTAAGAAATTACATATGATATTGTCGCAGGACTAGCAGACAAGTTGCATATACTTCCTGTTTCCTTGTTGCTGACTCTCTAATGCTCTCTCATCCAGTGCTTTCAACAGCCTTTGAGAATTTGCCAGACTTTCAAGAATTTGAAAATAGTGTTTCAACAACATGACTGTATTCCTCTCCACTCTACTCCTACACACATTTCCTCAAAAAGGTCTCATCTCTACTCCTCCTCATTCAGAGCAATCTTACCCCCCCTGCATCCACAGACGTCAGGACCCTGTTCAACACGTTTCCAGAAATAACAGCTGACCAATGAAGGCCACATGTACTTTGACACATTTTACGTGACGCTAGTATTCAGTTGCGTGGGGTTTGATCCTTGTTGTTAACATTTACATTACACTGGGGCTGTAGTTACCTTCAAATGGGTACAAGGCTTTGCAGGTGCCGATGGTGGGCAGGGTCTCCTCATCGTCAAACTCATCGTCGAACTCTGGCGTGGTGGAGGTGGGGATGGGGTTGATGGTGGCCTTAACCTGAGTCTCTGAATTCTGTTCCTCTGTGTAGCTGCCATCCGGGCTGCTCAAGGGCCAACACACACACAGTAAATATACTGTGAAAACATACATAGTTTTCTTCCGAAAAAATAACGTGTGTAACGTGTGTAAGGTATGTAACGTTGATAACGACAGGTAATACAGATGTTTGGTCGTTTGTCAGAGTATACCATACCTCTCTCTGTCCTGCGCACAGTTGTTGCCCACTGTTGTGCTGTTCTGGGTCTCATAGATACTTCTTCGCTGTGTATCACTCTTGGATGGCATCCTTTCCTCCACCTCTGCTAACCAGCCCTGAAACACACACAGCCATTATGTATTTGTTGGCTGCCGCTTATATTCTTTTGTACGTTTGTAAATTGAAATGTATTTCGTGGATCATGGAATTCTTTTGGTCTGTGAATCAGATGGCCTTTCCAGGAGGAACACCTCAGCCTTCCACTCCAGCGTGTTTGCCATTTCTTTACAGGGTTAAACAAGGCCACTGCTCAGCGCTGGAACATGCAGCCAGACCCTCCAGCTGCATCACATCTTCTCCTAATATGGACGAGCAGCAGACGTCTTTGGAACGACCCCAGCTGGAGACGCGTGTTTGAACTCCTCATTATTTACTGTCTCATGTAAACCAAACAAGATAGCTTCGCCAACACTAACACAGAAATGAGAGCGCAGACTAGCACTGAACTAACCTCAAATTTCTGAACTTCAGACTGGAGCTTCTCGATGTTTAGGCCTATTTCTGTTAGCCTGGGGTCTACGCTTGACGGGTCTCCCATCTGAGGGTTCTTTATGTAGACATCTTTCATCTTAGTTAGAGCGTCCCTGTGAGAGCAAATGAAACAAAGTCAGTATAATTCTTTGAGTCTTTGTTGCACATTAACACAAATATCGCTCGTCATATCCAGGAGGGAAAAGCTCTTTAATTTATAGCTTACCTCTGGTCCATTTCTTTTTGAATGTCCTTATTCAGTTCATCTAGCTTCCCCTGCAGCTTCTTCCTCCTCTGCTCTGGTGGCAGGTGGCTGAAGTCCTCTGGTCCAGAGCCCTGAGAGAACAAAAGGGAGGAAGAGATGCAGAAAATGAGAAAGAGGTGGAGAGAAACCATGAGTCGAGGAAATACAAAAATTATTGGTTGTGCTGCTGTTTTAACAGGGGTCTTTTCTACTTCGGTGCAGTATCTCCCTTTGCTGTAAACCCCGTGAACCAAGACTCAGGGATAAATGGATAACATCTCCATAAATGGAGCCTCCTGTTATGTTCTACTATATAATTCACCTGAAGGAGATACTGCAGCCGCTCTCTAACACACGCTCACAGAGAGTTGGATTGGATTTTTGTCTCTGTATAGACTTGAGGCCTTTCACCTATTCAGTCGCCACGCCTAATCGATCTGCTCTCTGTGAGAGCATCGAAAATGTAATAAAGTATTTGCTACATCCTATTATTGTTCTTATAGTGTTTCAGGTTGAGCTGGCTAATGGGTCTCAAGATGTTCTCTAACAACTGTGTGTTCTTAAAGGAGGCTGTGTGAGGGAGAGGTTTTTTGGCAGGCCAGTAGTCATATTTCCTGATGAGAAGGTTTCCAGTCTGTAACACTGAACTGATGAGTCACACATTTCTCTCTGCCTACTGCTCTACATGGAGACCCAAAGAGTTAAATATGAACAAGTAAAGTTAAATATATATATATGAAACCTCAACTCATTATTATGAAATTAGTTTTCTTACTTTTGTCAGAGTTTGTGTTATGTCATTATAGATTTCTTTAAATCTCAAAAGTCTGTTTTTGTTTCATAAACACAAAAACACAGACACAATGACCTCTCCTTTTACTTACGATGCTGCACATGCTACCTACCTAGTCAGCTAAGTGGTTTGGTTTGTGGGGAGCTTGTTTGATACTCAACATGTTTTTCAGAGAAAGTCACGCAACTGTGTGCAGAGCAAAAACTTTTTCTTTGTGGTCTAAGTGCAGATTCTGCATTCATATACAGATATCTGTTTATAGGTGGTAAGGCTGCTGAGGCGGGTGACTGACTGACCAAAGTGTTGCTTTGACCCCAATGCTAATGTGGGCATACTGACATGTCCACAATAAACATGAAAAATGAACTCCAATAAAATCATATTACTATAAAAATAATAATGATTAATATACATTACATGATAATAAGTTGAGTTATAATAATTGATCACATTATAACTTCTTACATTAAGACCTTATGAAGTATTTCTTTCATAAAGTCTTATTTATTTGTTCAATATAGAACTTTTTGGGGCTCCATATAATCTGTCATTGAGTTTTTTAAGTGAACAAAATAAAGAGAAAGAAAATTGTATCATAGCATTGTTGCTTCAGTCCAGTCAATTAAGAAAACACGTGCATACACTGAATAGATCAAGGCCTGATTGGATCTCATTGAGATGGGGCACAGCGGCACCACAGGATGTATCTGCTGGAGCTACAGACTCACTGCACATGAGCGGGGTCGAACACAGCGGACAGGTTACCATGGCAACCTTACCCCTTCTCCCTGTGTCAGCACGCAACACTTACCAGGCATGCAACATAAGAAAGATTTGTCAATCATCATGCAGAGACATGCGCCTTTCTGAGTGATAAGCTACAGTACAGAGGTCATGTATTAGTCTTTACGTTCTCTATGTACCCCGAGACAAATGAAAACACTATTATCAAACTAAAACTATGGGCAAACATTAGGTCATTTATTGTTTGTAGTATGATACGATGGAAAATAATTTATAAATTGAGGGTTCTGTATGGAATCAGGTATACATTTACCAAAAAAACTACTACGGAACATTGAAATTACAATAATCATGAAAATCGTAATATTCATTACAATGTCAGCTTAATCTGACATTTTGGGAAATGCACTTATTCACTTTCTTGCAGAGAGAACTCACATGTCTGCACGTTAATCTTGAAGCCAGTGGGCGGTTTGCTTAGCTTCGCATAAAGATTGGAAACGGGGAAACAGCTAGTCTGACTCTGTCCAAAGGTGAACCGGAAGCAGTGGCTTCCTGTTCAAGACTTTGCTCACTTGTAAGCGGTAAATTGAGATTGACACTTATTAATCGTCATCTTTCACCCAATTATAACATTTTTAAACTGCGACGCAGCGAATTGTGGGACTGTTGAAAGTAGTGTATGTGCCTTGGACACTGTTGGAATTATTTTATAACATACACATTTTTATATAGAGCTCTATATAGAGATTACATTTCACAGTCAGAATCTGGACACTTCCTAAAATGGTGCAAGGTAACAAGATATAACGTATATAATGTAAATTTTTGTACCTCTGGAGTGTGCCAGGCTAGCTGTTCCCAGTTTTAATGCTAAGCTAAGCCAAACATCAGCTGGCTGTAGCTTCATGTTTAGTGCACAGATATGAGAGTTGTGTCAACCTTCTTATTTAAGTCTAAGCAAGAAAGTGAATAAGTTATATCCCAAAACTTTAAACTTTTCCTTTAATCCTCAAAGTGCCTCTTTTGATGAGGAAAATATAACTGAATAGCTGTTGTGCTGTGGAGGCCTGCCATCATACAGTTCTCTTATGTTAGCGTTACAAAGAGCATTCTATAAACATGATGAAATTGGCATGCAGTGTAAGGACACGAGTGAGACACTACTACATAAGTTCAGATTAGTATTTGTTACAAGTACATACGATCTGTCGAGACAAGAAGGACTACTGGACATATTAAGAGACGGACAGATAAAACACAGAGTAAATCTGATCACCTCAATGAGATTCCGGACGTGGGAATTGAGTGTTATCTGCACCACAGAGACCACAGACACAGTTTGGGAGAGACATGACGAGAACACAACCACATAAAAACAAAACAAACAAACAACAAAATAACACACAAATGAGACAACGACACAAATCTGGGGTCCATCGTTGTGTCACAGCAAAATTTAATTATTAACTTCAAAAATAAAAAAGAACAACAGCAAAAAAAAAAAAATAACGGCGTACAGAACGTTATTAACAATGTGTTACTGGGAGGACGTGACATGCGTGCTATGGTCATGCCGCTATGGTTGTGCAGTTAAACGGTCATGCTTACCAGCTTGAGAGAAAGCTTCATGGGGAGAGAGGAGAGAGAAATGGCGAGGAGCAGGAGGGAGAAAGAGACAACAGACAAAAGTCAACATCAGCAGAATATTGCGGCCATTTGTTTCATTTTCCTTTAAATAAAAATTGTTTATTTAACGCTTTGCCAAACTTCACCATTTAAGGAAAAGAGGGTATAGAGCTTAATTCCTGAAGGATTTGGATTTACATTGCAGCTGTGTTATTAAAAAAAGGCTCTTTCAGCACACTCTTTTCTAACGTGGTGAAGTTTAACATTTCTAATATGATGGATTTATGAAAAAATGAGAAATAAATTGGCAAAAAAGGCCAACCGAATGCACAAGCATGGAGAATGAGTAAAAATTAAGGGAAGACAGGTGAAAATAAATGAAAAGAAAGAAGTATGGGGTAGTGACTGCGACTGGGACGGATGTACCCTTTACTTCTTGATCCCTCTCAGCTGCCATTACAACGACACACACGAGACAGCAGAGGGCGCCAAAAGCATGTATCACATTAGCAGATCCATACGTTGACATGAAGGCAGATACTGAATATACAAGCTGGAGAACTATTGAAACTGGCTTGTTGAAAAAAAATCTACCCCTATCCAGGTATATATATATATATATATATATATATATATATATATATATATACATACATACATACATACACATATATATACAGTACCTCAAATGAAAGTGGCTGAATGAAGGTACAAAACAAATAAAAGTAATCATGGCCTATAAGGCGAGGATAGTAAAAAAACAAGTAAAAAGAACAAAAGACATGGTTGTAAAAGTGTTTTTAACAGCTCATTTACACCATTTGCTGAGTGATTTTTGAGAGGAACATTGCTCGGTTATGAATATAAAGAACAGAGTAGAAAGCAGTTAACAACCTTTGGCTGGCAGAGCTGGAGCAGATGACTTGTAATCCTGTTAGAGGCTCACAGGCTGGTGCACTGAGGAGCTCTACTCACTTTAGTCCACTAATCAAGTCATCCACCTGGAATGGCCTGTTACGGTCCTCGCTATGACACTGTATTATTCTTACATTTCCAGTGAGTGAAGCTTCAATTACAGAGCACTAAAAAAATGATTTAATTTACACTTGTACACACAGGGTGTTTTCTGTCGAAGTATACGTAATAAAAGTGCTTTATAAACTCTAGGTTAGGATCTAGTTTGGGCCTTGTTTATGTTTCTAGTGGTTCAGATATGGTTATATTCAAATGTACTTGTATTTGAGAAATTATGAGGTCTTGGCTCCTGGGTCTGTAGTTAAGTTTGGACATAAATCTAAGTAAAAAAGTTCTTCTAAAGAAGTAAATCTAAAAGTAAAACTAAAAATACTACTTAAGAGTAAAAGCTATTTATCACATTTCTTACAATTTAAAAATGGTTTGCCGGTTAATAGAAGATCTTAGATGACTGCAGTACAGAGACAGAGGTGCGCTACACCTTCTGTCACATGTCTTTTGTGGAATAAAATACAACAAATTAAAAGGTTGCAGAGTACATACTTGTCCCTGATTGGCTAGTCCTGCTCAGCGCATGCATGTGATAAATTATGTGAGCTGCACTTTACTGTAAGTAGCATGATAAAAGTGTTTTATTCTCCGCTTTCAGCGAATAATTCTTCACTCCTAAATTGTCTTTCTTTAGTGCGATGATTAGTTTTTGACATCTTTCTTTAGTGCGATGATTAGTGTGACAAATACAGGCCCTGGTCCACAGAGCTACCTGGACTCTTTCCAACCACCAAGACAGACATAGATATACAGGTATAGTATGATCCTTACAGACAGATAACATTGTTGCAGTATGGCACACCAGCACAAAGAAAGCCCTGGAGGGGTGAATTCTGGGTAATGTAGGCTGAACCCAGATCCAAAGTGTGACCAACACCTCACCTAATGTAACATCGACCTGACAGTGAGGTTTAAATAGCGAGGAGGGGTGATTGCTGAGATGAATAGCATCCTCACACCCATAATCCCCCACAGCCTCAGGTGCTTGTGACACTTTGTGAATTGACCCCTAATAGATGCTCAGTGGGGAAGCCCTGGAACAGCTGCAGGACAACGGCGAGCAACAAGAAACCTCAAGCTGATACATGTGATGTGGGATGAAGTCATCATCTTCTCCGATCATTCGCCCCGCTCCTACACGTGTCAGAGCCATGTGATCAATACCGAGCCAGGCACAGACACTAGCCTCCTTTGTGAGGACATTTCGCCTCGTTGATTGTGACGGAACAATCTCCTTGTGGAGACCGAATGTGTCACACAAAAAAATTATTAGTAATGAGGCTACTGTATGTGTTGGACGTGGCTTTTAGTAATCACACACGGCCGCACACACTCAATATTCAGTCACACTGTTTTCCAACTGCGTCCTTGCTCACACTCACAGAAACACACACACACACCGCTGGTACTCACTGACCCTCATCACACACACTTACAACATATTGCCTTGCTTCGAAAGCATATGTCTGCCGGCCCAGAGTCCTCTTCATAAGCTCTTTGTGACAAATGAGCGAGCGCGGGGATTGCTGCTGTGGTGGTTGTCAGAGAGAATACAGCTTTGTCAGTGAGAACTCAGAAAACAGCACTGACGTCTCAAAGCTCTTACTGTATATATATACTGTAATTCTGTATACGGCCTTAAGTTGACTCCCAAAACACATATGCTTTATCTTTTTTCCTCCTGCACAAAAACACACACGCGCGCACGTACACAGTTAACTGTGGATGGATTTAGACAGCTAATACGCACCACACAAAGGCTCTCCTGCAGGGGTAGACATCCCTCCACGGTGCAGAGAGCACGACACCCCACCTCCACTTGCACAACTACTCTAATCCCTAATGTGATACCGTGTTCCCTTTGCAGGAGGTGGGGGAAGAATAAAATTGTATTTTCTAAGTAGGTTTTTATATGTCGCTTTTGGTTTGTTACATCTTTAAACAGGGTTTCTGCAGGACTCACCACCTTAAATTTACAGCATATATGCTGTGTATATGTGGCAACTCCTAATGATAAATTATTCACATTAATATGATCTGGATGTGGCTAAATTCCTATAAACATCCATTATGAGACTATGAGCTTCTAAGCTATTGTGGCCAGCAGCTAGGAAGCCGTGGTCTAGTCGTTTTGACTGAAACTCAACAAAAAAGGATTAAACAGCCTCCTACGAATACAATCCAATGTCGCACCAATCACACCTTCAAATTGTGTCCCAACACATCTCCTGACAGCCCACAATCTGATCCAAAAACCTTTTCTAACATTACTTCCTACAGCAAGCAAGAGAAAATAGTCTTTAGACTCTGGACTTTTAAAAAAAAATTGGGAGGAAACTGAATTAAAAGCTTTATGAGACTTTTTCGAGACCTGCAGATACCCCAGTAAAGACAAGCCTTCCTTCTTAAAATGAGAATAAATACTGTAGTACTGGTGACAAAGTGTTGCTAGTTATCTTGGTTCGACTAAACAGATGCAGGCAGGTTTGTGAAAGAGCTGAGGAACTACCAGCAGCTGTTCAGAGGCATTAGCCCAAACAGTCTGTGTCAGTAAGGCAGTAGGGCTGGTGTCCCTAAAAGACTTGTTCTTCTTCTAGTGGATTACCCATGCACCTTTTGTTACCTTTAATATCTTATATCCATCCATCCATCCATCCATCGTCAACCGCTTATCCTGCGTACAGGGTCGCGGGGTTAATATATTATATAATAAATTAATTAAATTACTGTAAAAGTGTACTTTAAATCAAACAACATCTATATATGTGAAAAACATAAACTGGTTACCACCACAAGACATGAAAATGTGTACAAAATAAATGTATTCATGAGATATGGACAGAAGTACAGATACATTTAAAAAAGTTTGTAGTTCTCTAAAGGGCTTTATACTCTGATCTGATACAGTTTCTAACCTCTCATAGACTCAAAGATGTCATTCAACCATTTTAGTGTGCTACAAAATGTTACAGTAAGGTCAAACTTCAATCTTTTGAATCTGTGTACACTTGAAAACAATGCATCTGACTGAACTCTGTACATTTTTATATCGCTCTTCTTGAGAGCTGTTCCAGCACTTCCGCTTTCAGAAACGTGCACTTCCTGCTATATCTGTCCGGCGCTAGAAAAAATACACACTTCCTTTTTTTCTGCCAACATTCAATCATTTCCTCTCCTGCATGCTCTGCACTGTTGCAACTATATTGTTTGCCTTTTCAGATGTCATTTTAACACCAATTCATACAAATGTTTTCATTTTGACTAACTACTGCCCTTTCAAAACATGAACGTAAACAAAAAATGTATTTGTGAGGTCCGGAAGGAACCAGTCAGCTACCGCCCATTCCTGAGGTCAGGGAGAGCTGGGGAGGTCCATTACGGGAAGGCGTGATATGACCTGCCCTGGCCCAGCGATTCCATAACAACGCACACTGAACTTTACAGCGGTAACTGGTGATGACACCCACCAGGACCCTGGGCTGGTGCTGATAAGGCTTCTAAAATTACTCTACTGGCCTTTCCCCTCCACATAGAGTGACTCAGTCAGCCTAGCTGCCATATCCAAAACCCATTACTTTGTTCATATTGCTAGGTTTAACTTTCTTCTTTGTGTTCTTTTCCTCGTATCACATGCAATAAAACCAAACAAGAACAATTCGCTCCCAGAGTGGACTGCAGAGAAGTGTGCAGGGAGCTGCTGCAGTCTCCATGCTACTGCCAAGACTGCTCAGGCGTCTTGCTGATTTCTGTCAAAGGGGGAAGGTGGGTGAGAGGGATCTGTCGTTGTGAGCACAGAGTTAACATGAAGAATGAAGGGACAGGATGGAGAGACTGCTGGTGAGTCAGAAAAGTACCATGGATTCATAGTTAAGCGCTACATAAGCATGCTAGAGAAGCAAAAAAGAGTGAGCAGCACTGTATGAGTGAAGGTAAGAGGCCCGTATATTATCCTGCTGGTATTTTAGTCTTGTAATCATAGTACCAATTTTGAAGGCAGTTTTTTTTTAATAGAAAATGTGATATGGATTGCTGTAATGGGCCAATGAGAGCGCTTCTTTCTAATTGCCTACATATACTGTAGATGCGTTCATTTACTGGTAACAGAGGTAATGCTCAGTCACCTGCTTGAAGTATATCATGTAGGTATTATGACCTACAAAACAGATGTAAAGCATGGACACAAATATTCTACCTTTGTCTTACTTCACCCATACAGTGTAGCAGGTACACAGCTCAGATACAGGTGTGGAGACACACACACACACACACACACACATGCACAAAGCTTGCTGGACACACACACTTACCCCTCGCCTCAGGCTCCGGAGGCAGTGCATTTTGGGTTTGGAGGTCATGAAGTCGTTGAGGCGGTGGGAGAGGGGCTCCTTTTGCTGCTTGGGAGACTGGGGGTCGTTGGGAACAGCAGAGGGTGAGGGTGGGGATGAGGCTGGGGGGGCAGGTGGGGGCTGGTGGGGGGACGTTAACAGGGACATAAGCTACCAGTAAGAGAGGGAGCCGTGACGGAGAGGAGGAAAGACATGGAATAAGAAGAAGAAGAAGGGGGCAAGAATCCAACGAAAAAAGACAAGGAAGGAGGGAACACAAAACGAAATAAATAAGCCTCCTACAAATATTAAAAAATAAACACTTAACAGAAAACCCAAACGGAACATAAAAGACAACTGAAGGAATGTCAAACCTGCTGTATAAGTTGTTATGTTGTGGAAAAAATGTCAAACATATAAAACATAAAAAAACAGTTAAAAAGAAGAAAACAATAGAGAGTGAGTAGGAAGCGTAAAATGTGTTAAAGCAAGCGGCTGCACCAAAGCAAACAGCAAAGAGCTTCAGTCAAAGCACATGCAGGCTTCCATTTTGGAAATCCTTTTTTCTTTTTTCTCTTTCCTGTCCTCACCACATGCCAGCTAGAACAAGAAATTCACCACATCCCCGCGGATATCGGGAGCTGAATTTCAGGTCATCATCAGAGGAATCTAATTGCTTATCGCTGTCCTAAAACATCTGACTGCATAATTCATCAACCAGTAGTTGAAGAGTTAGAGAATGAAGCAGTGATGACGCAGTTCTACGGCACCACACAAAGCGCATGCAAGTGATTCAGAAACCCACAAGTCACTAAAAACCCTACTTCTTCAAGGCCTTAATGGTGCTTTTCTACTCAATTATCAATATAATGTTTTATTGTGGTATGTGTATCTGTTACGCTTGCATGCAAGGTGTGTGCAAGTGTGCATGTACTATAGAAATAGCTCTCTGTACGGCTGTCTGTGCTCCCAAACACTTCCTATAGAAAATGAATGCCGAGTGCATCGAGCACGGACAAAAGAATCACTTTGAGTAAGTATGCATTGCTTTTTGGGAGTTTGCAAACAGTGGACACACCACAGTCTGTACATATATCGTCATTTCACTGGGGTTTCTCATCTTGCATTGCACACACTTGCTCCCAGCATTTCTCTCCCACACACACACACACACCCTGTTACTCACTCATGCTCTTGTCTAATTCAATACCAATAGTGCCACCAGTCCATAAGACGGTCAGAGATCAGTTTTGCTGTTCAGACACAGGAAACTGTAGGAGGCTACTCAAGGTTGATAACCAGTCAATGGAAAAAAAAAACGTGAAGGGAGACTGTTATTTCAGATCAAGTTAATATCTGCCAGTTGAGTCCATCCACAGGGTGAAGGTTGAAATGCATTAGTGTGTGTTACAGAAGGGGGGCTCCTCGGTGAAGGTGATTGCCAGGGAGGGGGGAAAAGGGTGGCGAATAATAACAACAAAAATGGCAGTAGTAACATGAACTAGCAACAAATTTCTTGAGCTTAACAGAAAGCCAACAGATCTACACAAAAAAAAAACTAAATTAAATACATAACCAGCGCTAGAAATGTAACAGATACTACAAATGTGACATTGAACACATATATTTGTGTAGCCAGTGTATTACAAGACAGAACCAACATTACATAATACAACCTAAAACATCCCTCCAGCCCTCCGCCCCACCCCAACAAAAATCTCCCGAAAGTGCAATGTGACCTCCGTGTGAGGGAAATCGTGTAAAATGAAATGCACTAAAACCAGCGGGGCTTTGCTGTACGTTTGACTCTAAATGAGGCTCTCTGTTATGTGTGCATTCATGCGTTACCTTGTTCTTGTTCTTAATGAAAGGCCACAGTTTGCCCTTGCTCTTGCCAGCGGGCTTCTCCTTGGCCTCTCTAGAGTTGGACAGGCTGGTTTCAGACACCGTCCTCTTCATGGCCTGGCCGTAATCCTCAAACTCCACATCTCCAGGGGGCTCGAACCCGGACTTATAGGACTCCACCACCTGCTTCGAGTCCTAGAGGGGAAGAGAGGTTGCAGCAATCAGTGACAGCCATAGACTGTACAAAAGAAGTGGACGTAGTCATCGTGACTTCACCCGTTGGTTTGTGGACTGCCGTTTTGAAGCCTCGAGTTTGGCTAATAGGACCGCCGCCATGTTGATTTTTTGCAACCAGGAAGTGCCCATATTTGGACGAGCCGGAGGAGCTAACGGCCATGTGTGGAGCTAGCTTGCTTGCTTGCTTAGCTAGGTGCATCTGTAATTCACCTTAACAGTCATTTTAACAGGGCTGACAACTTTTGTTTAGTGAACACCATTCTTAAAACTAAAGGTACTCACCAGAGAAAGTGAACAGCCAACTCCTAATAAGCTTTTTCATCGGCATTGGTTAAATTTACATAGTGCCCTCTAAATTGGACCATAGAATAATAGAATGGAATAGATACTTTATATATATATACTTTATTAATCCCGCAAGGGGAAACTCAATGTTTTCACTCTGTTGTTAATCGTTAGTATTTTACACACAGGTCTCTAATACACTCACATGCACATGCACAAACACGACCTATAGGGACAACACATGGAGAGAGTCAGAGTGAGGGGGTTGCCACTTGGTACGGCACGGGGGTTCAGGGGCTTGCTCAAGGCCACCTTCGGCAGTGCTCAAGAGGTGAACTGGCACCTCTCCAGCTACCAGTCCAGCTAATTTACTAACATCATGTTGTATTGAAGAAGACCTGAAACTAGTGATCGAGACCATAAACTCATTACGAAAGTGTTTACTGAGGTAATAAATCAGCTGAGAAGTAGGGTCATTTTACCATTATTATTAATGCATTTTGCAACCAGAAGAGTCGCCCCCTGCTGGCCGTGCAATGATGGATTGGATTCAGGTCTCAGAACGGAAGCTTCCCGCTTGGTGACAGCGCTGTCCTTGATACATTTTGTCCACTTTTTAATTTAAATATCAGCTGAAGGATCACAAAATGCAAAGCAATGACTAAAAAGGAGGGGGGCTGTCTGTTTGTTTAGACTGTCCAGCTAATCAACAGGTCTTGAGATAAGTTGCAACACAATAGTGGCCTGGTGACTCTCTTGTTTATTCGGTAGTAGTTTTTGTCTGATAACAATTTGTGAGTGCGTTACGAAAGGAAAGGGAGAGAGATTGTGGTTATTCAGTTTGTGGGCCACAGAAGAAAGAGGAAAAGACCTAAATCTGTCAGGCAGGAGTTACGACAAAATCACTGAGGTCAGGGACATAGCCAGGCTCACCAGACACAGGAAGGAGCACATTAATCAAGTGCAGTGTGCATCGGCCTATCTAAACTGATAAGGGCAGAGGGTCTGTTTTGAGCTAGGATCGGGGGTCAAAGATCTGCTGTACATATGAGAGAAGGCTATGAGAGGAAGCGAGACAGAGAGAGGGAAGGAGCATGTGACATGTTATTCCCTGTCACTGTTTACAGCAGCAGACACTCAAAGGCCGGAGTCATCTGCCTGGAGCTGGGCCATGCACACACAACTGGACACAGACACACACATACTATGCAATCCCTGGGGTCAGTCTTGTTTTTTGTCATACGGCAAGCGGCCAACACGTGACATCTCAATATATCACACGGCCCATCTTCTCTTTAAGGTGAATGCTGTCTTCCATTTCAATATCCAAATCATAAATAATAATAAGCCACAGGACAGAACTTCAGCCAACAACTGCATATTAGCTTTGTGGAAGTGCATAAACCGAAAACAGAAAGGTTCTCAGGAGCGCTATTCAACAGAAGGATTAGACTACGGGAAACACACTGATTCAACTTCCTCCTATTTCCATAATGGGTACAGGTGTTAATGTTCCTATCCAGACACGTTTTAAAGTATGTAAGAATACTGTGCAATGACTATGATTTTCCAGCATAAAAAGGAAAAAACAAACTCTGAAATGCTCTGAACCTCTGACTCTGAAAGACCAGTGCGCATCAAGATGGCTAGCGTTGGAGAAATTCAGCTTTAGCCTACACATGACTCAGATGAGCAGTCTCAATCGGTGATCAGAATGGTAAGCGTAGTTAGCATCTTTTAATTAGCGTTAGTGGTTGTGAAACATTCAATAACACCTGCTGCGATGACGCATTGTTATTACGTAGTAGACAGTGGAAGGAAGCTCCAAAGTCCACAGGGGGTTTACATCCAAAAACTGCACACTATAACGTGCTTGCTGTCAAAACTTTCCCTACACTAGTGCACTCTCTGTACTGACAAGTCCGCTCTGCGCTGAGAGCTTCAGGGTTTCTTTGCTGGTGGCATTTGCTAGACAGCAACTGGCTTACGAATTTTAGTTTTTTTTAAAGTGCCAAATTTAGCTTGCCCAGGGTAAGTCTGAATCTCAGATTTTAGTGAAGTGTACAGACATCTTCCCCCTTCAGTTGAGGGATGTGAAAACACCTATCTAGTGGCAAACTAGTACAAATGAAAGTATAAATATAAGTCAGTAAAGTCAAGGTCTGACATTTTATGGGACAACATTTTGAGTGGAGGGGATCTTTTAATGAAATAGTTTAACATTTTAGGGAAATAACATAGCCTCATATTAGCTCACTGATTAGCATTAAAGGGGAAATTATTCATGTGTTCATATGAAGCTTATTTGTCATAAATTTTTGAGGGGAATTATGGCATGTATTTTTAGGAGTCTTTCATGCGTGAAATAAAACGTGTGCTTGTATCCCATTGGCTTTCTTACTATGAAGGGGAGGTCAACTCATAGATTGACTCATTTTGTTCAGCAACACTGTCCTCCCACAGCACGTTGTTCTTCACAGGTGGCTGTTTTTATTTTCATTTCCTTATGTCTGTTATGACTGACACCCTGGCTGAGAGAGCAATATGACCCATATGGTGCTGTGTGTGTGTGTGTGTGTGCGCACATATATCTTATTCTGTATACTCACAGTCTTGGGCTCGATGGATTCAGCGGCAGTTGTCATGCCGTCTAAACATTTTCCCACGATGGGCAGCACTTGGCGGTCCACGTCTGCAAACGTCTTCATGCACACTCCTAGCCTCTCAATTCTTCTCTCCTCCATGTCTTGAAGTTTCTGCATAAAAATACAGGCATGTTCATACATGAATACAAGATTTACTACAATGTGTTAATAAATAACAATAAGAGTTGAGTGGGCAGGGCTTGTGTTGAAAATGATACACTGTGAGACTGGAATCAAACTGTCTGAAAGAGCTGTTTGATATTGAGCATCATAATCTGACATACCATGTGGGAAATCTCTTATGTATTTTACTTGTTTTATGTCTGACCCTACTTTTAAAAAACATCTCTAGAGAAGTGAAAGATCCTAAATATATATGGAAAGCTTCATTTTTGTATTTCAAACACACAACACTGTGATTCCAAGCTCACAATATGTCATAATGTAACACACCAAATAGTTTTGTACAAAATAACGGCACCCTTGATAATGATGGCTTGTTACCCTCACTGTTTTCCGCATGTTAAATTTATTAATAGCAGTCGACTCAGAGGTGAGTGGGGGTTGGTGGTCTGCAAACAGCATTGAGTTCACAAGCTAACTAATGAATGCACATGAATGCACAATTCTGGCAGACTTTTCAGTCTGTTGGCACTTTTAGCTGCATTTGCACACAGCGTTTTGAAAGACAGAAATGATGAACACAAACTACAAAAAATATATTTCTGTGTGGGACCTAAATACATTTGATGTATGGGAAACACTGGTTACCCAAAACAACTTGCTAAGTGCAATTATCTGCAACAAAACTAGATGAAATAGGCCATATGTTGAGGTGCTGTTGGATTTACCTGGAATATGTTGGGAATAACTGTAAAGTAATGTTCATTCTGCTCCTGGTTGAACTTCTGCAGGTAGGAGGAGTATTCGCTCTTACTGTCGGCAGCCATCTGGTGCCTCATCTGAGCTTGCTGTCGTGCCTGAAGAAGAAAAACAAACCATGCACATCAGACACTCCCTTTCCTCACTAAATCTCAGCGTCCACTGATTAACACAGACATATGGGTTACACACAGCCACACTCACACACACACAGCCAGAGCATAACAACCTAAATGGGTTGACACATTTGTGCATTCGAGTGTACATGCATACACATGTACACACAAACACGGAGCTCATTGACACGCGGTCACAGGTGCAAACCCAACTTGAGCAGCAACAACAACCATTGGCATTACACTGTACTGGCTGTAGAATAGAGGGATTTGGATTTTGATTGCATGCCCTGTCTGGCATATCTCTACTGTCGATAATGTTGATTATTTTAAGCTAGTTCAGTCTCAGGGAGGGATAGCAGGCAGTCAGAAACGCAGCAGGAGCAGCCTATTACAGATCCAAGGCAAGCAGATGGAGATGAGATTATCTCAGCTAGACAGCATGTGGGGTGTGTGTAGGTGCATTGTATGTGTGTGTGTTTGTGTAGCCAAGTTCTCATATCTGTTTCCTCTTTCCATTGGATTTGAGGCCTGTCCATATGTAAATAGTGGTTTCATTTGGTCATCTATAACAAAGGGTCACCTTATGAACCCATTTGGTCAAGTGAATGCAGATGCACATAAACAACTGCAGCCATGTAACTGGGCGGGGCAGTAGAGGGAACTTAACCCTGAGCTGTTGCAGTCCTGAGGGAAACATTTAAAGGACTGCATCCAGTTTTCACCCACACACTGGAGCTGAGGCAAGAGTTCTCTCACACTCACACGGGTAAGTAATAGATGACAACAAAAGGAGGACATCAGAGCAGAGACACTCGTCAGACACAAAGGCACATTATTTCCAGCACAGGAGGAATGACATTTAATACTTTGTGGAAAATGATAGTCAGCCTACAAAAAAAAAAGGAATGTGAAATCCAGGAGAAAAGCTAAAAAGCACATGTGAAAGTCCAGCTGTTTAAAATCTACGTGCGTGCCTGTGAGCATGCATGTATGGATATGTGCTATGCTGTTGTAGGTGCATGCAGAGTGCACTGAATGTGTTGGGAAATGACGAGGATGCCAAGTCACTGCAACGGTAACTTAGCAGATAATGAAACCTCGTAACGTAAGCTGCCGTGCCTGCAGCCACATCACATCCTGTTGTCATATTCTGGAAATTACCTAGTTTTACAGTTATTCACACTTCTGTACATATGCATGTCTATCTATCTATCTATCTATCTATGAAATACATTTCTTATGGAGGACTGGGAATAAAATGAGAATGAGGAACAAAAAGAAAATCAAAATGAAAGTTGGTATAAAAGCTGTCGCCATACGCACTATATTCAGCATTTCCCACATTTCATTATTCTTACATCACACATATAAACCTCAGAGTGAGAAAGTATTCACCAAAAGACGTCGAGACAAGCCACTGCACGGGGGGAGCAGTTCACAGTCAGACAGGACAGGGTGTGTGTTAACAGTGACCCAACTGAGGCTGTGTGTGTCAGACTCGGCAGGCGAGTATGCGTGTGTTTATCGAGACAGAAGTCGAGACAGTGTGTGTTCCCACAGATATCACAGGCTCTCTGGCCGCTGGACCTACCTTGTGGGAACTTCGCTTCAAGGCATGGAATAAAATAGATATATACAAACACACACAAACAACAAAAAAAGGATTGTTAGCTGTTTCCAGCTAAACAAGAAGTTGCCATAGATGCACTTCCTGGACCACCAGGCATGTCATCACTCAAAAGGGGAAGTTGGTATCACAGTAAAAAACAATCACCATGGAAATATTGATACTGTAAACCGCTGTCCTATGCAGTTAGTAAAGGCAGAACACAAGTGGAGGGGAGGGCACTGTGGTATTTTTCTAATGCTTTATGACTGAGGATCTCCGAAACAGGGAAATCTATGAGTGTGTGTGAGGGCTGGGGGTGCCCCAAAGAACTGTAAGTGGCTTTGTGGATATCTCGGCTGTGAATCCAAACCCCAAATTGAGGGATTTTTTTTGCCAGAAGAGGAGAGGGAACAGTTAGAGGTTTGCTCCAGCTGCAGAGAAAACCACAGCACCTCAGCTCAACAAACAGCAGCTTCTTCGCATTACATGGAGACATCACAGACAAAAGCCTGGAACTTGACAATATATATGTCAAATATTGCGGGATTCTTTTTTTATTGCTACTGACAAGTAACTTAAATGAGAAACTTAATTACTTCATTAGCAGCTTCAAATCCTGCAAAATACTATTGTACAGAGAGAAAAATCCACACACAACTATGACTACAAACATGCTTAAACTCTGTTTCTTCACCTCTTTTCTTCTTCTATCATGCATCTGTTCTGTCCAATCCAGAACCCCAATGCTTTAACTATTACTACAACCCAAACACAAACTAAGCTGAGGTTGTGACATGTCATTCCTTCCAGTGATAAATACTCAGAGGCCCTCTAAATCATGAAGGAAATATGCTTCTGCAAAGATCACGAGCCACATGATCTGTTCTATTCAATGGCTTAGTTTTATGACCAAATCTGTAAAAACAAACTGAGCCCTTTTCTTATACTCCATTTGCAGAATTGCTGTTGATAGAATTGATAGCAAAGATACAATACTGGAAACACACACCAATAAAGGGTCTATTAGAAAAACATAAGCAAAAGAAGAATTCTAAAATATGTGTGGGATCCAATCATTTTCTACAGTGACTGATATGAGGGAATTCAGTATTTTCTATTAAAGGTTCTCCTGAACACTGGAAAGAAAAGAGAACTGAGGTTGGTAAACAAATAACAAATACAGAGAGGAAAAAGATAATTAGTATTGGTAAACAGGGAGTGATACTGAGAAGCATACATATTCATGTGTTATATTATATATATGGTACTGTTGGCCACAGCATCTTATTGTATGGTCTGCTTGAGAGACATGCACAAGTTTCAAAGGTGTGTTACGGTAAGTTACTGTTTCTACATGAAAGCACCATAAAGAGACAATTCTCATATACTCTACATTAGTGCTTGTCGTTTTCTAATGCACAATAAAGGCTTCAAGATTGATTTCCTACTTTCACTGCAGCCATTAGCTTTTAGCTTTTACACTGTAGCTTGAAAATCAACTTGTAGGGACTACCCTGAGATAATGTATATAATCACTCATGGTAAGGGTCATTTTGTCACCTTTACTTTACTTGTTCTAGGATAAATCAAAGGCTTATCTGAGAGTGAGATATCGAAAGGCTCACACTCACCACCTCAGTCTTCTTCTTATAAATGTGGCCAATAACGTCACCACCTTCGTTATAGAGATTTAGAAAGCATAGACTCGAGCAAAGGAGCTTATATTGGGCAAGCAATGTAAGTCTCCTAAAGATTTCCAAATGAACTTCAGTTTGACATAAATCCTTTCAATAGTTTATTTCTAAATCTGTTTTTTCCCAATCTTTACAACAAAAGTGGTGAGTGCAAAGTCATCATGACCAGTAGTCAGAATGGCCACAATGGTGAGAATAAGAACCTGGATGACATTTTTCCCCCTTTAATAGATTAAAAAAAGACAAAAATATTGACATTGTATAAAGTCATAAAGTTGTAAGAATAATGTGGTAGAATAATTTAGTAGACACACTTAGTACTTTCTTTCTTGATAGTAAGTGGCTGCTCTATATCAAATATTCAATCACCCTTAAAGCACCAACAGGGACTAAACAAAGCTGAATTTTAGTGGCATGATTGGGAACTAAAAGTCAATACAAAATGGTCAGCAGGATGTAAAATCACAGTTTGAAGAATCCAGCTTATTAAAGAGCTGTTTACATTATCAACTGTTTACATTTACACAAACAGTGATCCTAACTAAATGAGAGCAAAAAAAAAAAACAGTACTGAATTCATGCTTCAATAAATGAAATAACTGTATTCAGACACAACTATCTTGTTTCAAGACTACTTTCTTGAGCTGCTGTGCTGTTAGCCTAAGCCTATTGTAGCTCTTTGGCTGTATGTCCAGAATGCAGAAAGGCTCTTTATTCCAGCCTATATTTGCATAATAATCGGGTCTGAACTGTGTCAACTCTGAGGCTGAGCTCTGCTCCAACAGCTGATGGAGCAGTAGGAGCACGCGCTGCTGACCCATGATGCCTTGCAGCCGTGGGAGCTGTGTGGGTTAAAGGCTGAGGTTTTAGAGGGCTCTTTTAATTGGTTATGGCAACAGGAAATTACATCAGCTACAGCCCCCAGGGGGCTCTGGTCTACAAGTCCTGAGAATTGGATGATTGCTGCATGTGTTGATTTATTGAAGAGGACATATAATCACAGAAAGACCAAAATACACATTTAGATTTTTCACAGGAAGACGAAAAAGCAAAGACTACTTAGATGTATAATCCACAACTCACATAAACACACACACGCACCACCATAGACACATAGTCTTCTCTGTTGCTAAGGCCCATACAGCACAGCAGAATGTTTGGTGGCTGCTCTACAGTGATAATGAGGACTTGGTGCTGTTATCAGCTTTGTGTAGCAGCAGATCACTGTGCTGCTGAGACAATGCCAGCTTTTACACACAGTCCCTGGCATCAAACACACGGTCACTCAATCTTTGCTGTCTTTCCGGTTCAGCGGAATGAGGATTTGGGGCTGGGGTGCATGGGGGGGGGGGGGGGGGGTGCAAAAGAAAATGTTGAGAGAAAAGGGGAGGGTGCATGGTGGGAGGGTGAGGAAGGCCAGGCAATTGTGTTGGCATGGAGGGTATAGCACAAGCTTGCCTGATGGGTGGCTGCTGCACAGGAGCGAGATGACACATACCTTTTCCACGTCAGCCTTAGTCACGTTAATGTCAGCGTCCATCTTCTCAAAGTACTGCTGTGCTCTGTCTGCCTCTTTACAGTCCCTCTCAAACCTTCTTTTACACTGAAGAAAATAGAGGAAACAAACCAAATTTAATCACAGACATTACATCAGTAATGTCCTGCCACAAGCTATAGCAGGAAACACTATATAACTTGACCTTTAAATAAGCATAGTAATAAACGTCATAACATGTACATATACGTCATATACATTTCAACCACAGCGCTGTCTGTGACAGAGGTCAGTTCATGTCATTGACACAGCAACAGGGTCTGTCAAATTCTGCAGCCTGCGGATTAAACAAATGTTCATAGTGGTCATTTGTGTTCAGAAAAAACAACCATTCATCCAACCCTCTTTCGACCCCTCTAACGGAACAATTAGTGTTTGTTGGGCCAGCATGCACACTGAACTATGCCTATCTGCCTCACACAATGGGATCATTGAATGCACAGAGAAGTTTGAGGGGGACAAGGCAGTTATGCATCCCTCTCACTCTTCAATCTTTCTCTCCAGGGGCCAGGCAGAGATAAGGAGTGGTATTCTGTGTAAACTCACTTTTGGCTCCTTCACAAATAAAACAGACACTCCTGGATCTGCTCTTATCTAGGTTTATGTTCTCTGGTCTTCTGTCGACGACTGAAAGTATGTGAGGATGTGAAACTTCCACATAGTATTTTCTTTCTGATTTTTAACATTATCTGCCTGCTACTCAAGGAGAGGATAACATAAGTCACACAAAAGCATCAGTAAGTTTTAAACTTACATTTCATCCTGATGTGAGAAGCTGTTCAGTATATTCATGCCATACTTATAACCATGCTCTATCTCCATTTCAAGCAAAAAGAAACGGCACATTGTTTCAGGTTTCTGGTGGAAAACAGGTCCCTCGGGCTCTGTGCATGACCCTCTGCTGATGTGCTCCCTCATTTTTTAATGATGATGTATTTAATAGTCACACTTTAGTATCATGTGGCATTGATGTTGATCGCAACACACTATCTCTGCCGTTTTATATAGGTTTTTATCTCTTTAAGTTTCCAATGTTAGACCTTTATGTATTTGAGGTACAATTTAATGAATACCTAGCTCAAATGTAATTAATGTAATGTCTTGTGTATGGAGTTCTCCTTGAAAACATAGTATGTGGAACATGACATAGATAAATACTACATTTTATGTCATGACTAAGGTTAGGTTCCGAAAGCCAGTTTCATTTTGGAAAAATAGCAAATTATCCGCATTTGTTCGCACTGACTAACAAGTCTGGATAATCACTTTGTAATACAGCTCTATAACCCCAAATGGACTGTGTGTTTTTGCAGTTCAAAAGGCCCAAAAGAGTGGCGATGTAGTGAACTGATTGTGTCACATGCAATCAAAATTTTATGAATCTCATATCGGTATTTTCAGTTTATCTATTTAACAGCTATGCATTGAAATCTACAGTATTTGAAAAAACGTAGCTCATGTTTTCTCTACTAGTTGTGAACATTAATTAGGCTGCAACTATATTACAGATCTAAATAGAAACTTTGAGTTTTAGTTATTTATAACTTTAGCTAAATGCAATTGATGAAAGCTTAACCTAATTAGATTTGATCAAGGACTCAAATGCATTCAGATTTGATTCATTATATCAAACCCAAACTGTAGTTACAGCTTTATATTACTTCTAAATACTTTGTGACTACATACTAATGAAAGTAATGTAATAAACTAATATATTTTAGTATTTCGTAGACTTGGAGTAACAGCCCTCTGTCTGATGTACCTTAATTTCTGGTAAGATAATTATACTAGAAAGGAAGTTGCAGAGGAGCTTGAGTGATTGAGTGAACCACAGAATAAGCCATATATATATATATGATATAATTATTTATGACATGACGTTATTAGATTCTAGTTTTGTCTCTCTTGATTTTAGGTCACTCTATGAACTGTGACCAATGGCAACTGCTACTAGTGTACCAAAGAAAAACTCCCGCACACTGTCTAACTTTTATCCATAATTTTTTTATTTTTTTGTCTGATGAAGGTCTAGTCCTGAAACTTTGTGTCAATATATACATATTTTGCAAGTTAGACAGTGTGTGGGAGTTTTTCTTTGCTACCTTTGACTCTCCTGTCCCCCTCCGACGCACCTGTCTCTCGTTATAGAGGTGCGAAGTTATTTACTGTTCTGAACTGCTACTAGTGAACAATTGTGGTGTTGCACATTCATGCGGTCACTTACCGATTCCAGCTGTTTCCACGAGCTCTCAATGTGCTGCTGTGCCTTACGCCCATCATGGAAGTGCTGTCAGAACAGTTGGGGAAAGGGGAGGGGATATTATCGCATTATTCACAAGCTTAAGGGATTTTAAAGCAGGTGAACCTGACCTTGACATAGCAGGATAATAAATTTGAAACAGTTAAAGTAAGAGTCTCAACCATACCAGTAAACATTATTCTTATTACCCACACTGTGATATGAATGTATTACAATAATGTGAACTGAGAAAGTAGGGCAAACTCAAATAGATACTATACTGTAGCTACATTAACAATAATGACACATAACCCATGGGCTTTGATTTGCACAAGCTCAAGCAAATGGCTATGAGTGTATCTGATTAAAGATCAACCAGATCATAGCCCATCAGTTCAACACAGGTGCACCAAGCGTTAGCTTTGCTAGCAGCATGGCTCTATGGATGGCAATGTCAGGTCGGTCCACCACTTTTGAAATATCTCAATCACCTGTACCTTAAACATTAGTTACAGACGATTATGGATAAATTGTAAAGCATCATCCAGTCAAAATTTTAAAAAGACTCACCTGTACTTTGTTTTAGTACTAATTAGAAAATGTTTGCATGTTAGCACACTAAAACAAGATGGTAAGCGCGGTAAACGTTATAGCTGTTTGACATCAGCATGCAACATTTTCTTATGTAGGTATGTTAGCATTTAGCTGTTTTGTTAAAGAAACAACACACACACTCTGACTGTAACAAGACAGGTACAACTGATGAGAACGTAGAATAGGAAACACAGAGAGGCTAACTGATTGTAAGAACAATGGTTGGACATGAAATGAGATGCTTAAAGTGAACATGCCATGAGATAAAACATGGAAGGAGCCAGATATTGTTATCTAGGGGGAGCAGACATGTCACAATAGAATTTGGCACTGCCGAGTGTGGCATATTAGAAAAGGCTAGGTGGCAGTTGCTGGTCTTAACTGTTTTTGTAAAAGGCCTCACTTGGCCTATCTCTCCAGGGGACCAGACCACTTGGCCCAAAGGCACAGCACATTTCTCTATAGCTCTCTGTATGGATCACAGCCAGATCCCCAGGAAACATAGCCAATTTTAAACTTTTGTTGTTTTGAAATTAGATTATAATTACTTATAAACCATACAAATAATTCCTCCATTCCCTGTGGTCACATTAATCTGCTAAAAAAATCCAAAAAGAATCTAATTTAAACAAAAATGACATAGAGACTTGACTATCAATGAGGTATCCCCTGGTTATGCAGACTGCAGAAGCTAGGGTCAGAAGCTGAGCTGAATGTTGATGCTGCCATTCAATGACAGACCCAGTCCATTATAAACAACAGAAAGCTGTTGCTTGTACGTCTCTTGAATTTCAGCCCTTTGGCCAGCACAAGGAAGTCCTCAGTATTCTATGTACTAACTCAAACACACAGCAAGAGATGTGAAATTAAGACTGATGCAGAAGGCCTAAAAGGTTAATCTCACCTGAATAACACTGGACATGAGAGTAGTTAGTGAGAATGTGCGCTGGTTTGCCTCAGGTAGTCACACTTCTCATTTCCCAAAGTTTCGAGGGAAGCTGAGTAAATTGAGGAAGTGCTCCAGTGTTTCAGAGGAACTATTTGAGCTCGAACAGAAAATGGGACACTGTGGAGCCGGTGAAGTCCTGTTGAACCAATGTATAACGAAGCATTTTTTCAACTGTTGTTAAGACCCTGACCTTCAAATTCTTGTTTGATAAGAACAAATCTTATTCAGTGATGAACTATCTCACTAAATGACGATCAGATACATCGAAGATAGCGTAAAGCCTTTCCACAACACACCGCACCAGACTGACTGACATCATTGTTACTATACAGCATTCTTTCAACCAAATATTTGTCTCCATAACAACATATCTGAAAACATCCAGCATCTCATGCTGTCTGCATCAACAAATCTTCCATCACTATGAAGAAAAACAAACTACGCTGACACTCTTCTACAAACAGCTCCACCAGATTCACAAGATCCTGCTGGAGGATGTAGATCTACCGACCACATCATGTTTGCGTTACCAAACCAAGACACATGAGCTCACTCGCTTTCAAACGCGTTTTAAAAAAAAGTTTTAATTTTAAAAAAAGAGTCCATCATTGTTTGTGACTAACAGCCATCTGTGATGAAGGTACAAATGCTGCAGTAATTTAGGCAGATGTTATGCAGTGTTGCACACTAGTGTCTCTGTGTTTAAATTCAGAGGCTGCAGTGATTCACTTGGTCCTCTTGGTCCATGCAGCTTTTGTGTTCAACACAAGAAAGAGTAGACGCACCCCACCTTCCTCCACACGTCCCTCACAGCGACAGCATGTTACTGCTGGCACCGTCAGGGACATCTGGGGTACTTCAACAGGTCGGTGCCCTGAAGCTGCCACTCTCAGTTACCCAGGCATTTGAAAGACACGGTGAGAGAGAAAAAAAGCTGGACATAACAGGCTAAGAAATTCTTGAACTTGAACTAACTGTAATAAAAATGAGATTGGAAAATATGATCATTATGCATCCAAGCACATTAGATCAGAGATGGGAGAATATTTAATAATGCGAAGCAGTATTGCTCACTTTGCTATGACTACATTTTCATAGACAAAGGAATTCCACGTTTCCTGCTCTTACGCACCTCCTGGTTCAACACAGACCACCAGACTCCCCCCAGGGCATGTAAGAGTGAAAGGACCTAGGTGTAGTAACAGATTCTGTGAAGTCTTGTTTTGACAGATTTCAATCGCTATAATTCCAGACAGAATATTTCTCTGAAACACACACACAAACAATCTCAATCTTAAATAGCTACTTTCCAGTGCCCACCTGGTATACCTGACTGAGCTGTGGTGAGACAGACATGCTCTAATAGGGCTGAGTGTGACATACACTCTGTGTGCCTCCGTGGCTGTCCCCTCCACGTATATGTTCATAAACAGTTTCGGGCAAAACAAACAATCCATAAACAAGTTCTGCTTTTGACGAAGAGAGGAATGAAAACTTCGCTACAGCACTGCATTTGAACTTGTGTGAAGGGGTGCACTTGGACATCTGTGCGCGCACACAAGCTCCAGCTGATCTGTTAGTCATTCATTGACGTGACCTGGTTCATAGGAATGTGCACCTGCAGTCCTGTACAGTTGTCTACACACATAATCATTAGGTACTAGAAATAGCCACAAGTCGCACAAGATCCAGAGACTAGAGAGATGATTAAACCTTACGAAAGCTCCACTGAGAGTTCATGTTTAAATCATCAGGCGACGATTCAAACAGAGAAGTTACAGCATTCTGGTGTGAGATGTGCATGCAGCAACATTGGGAACAATCAATTCTCTGTCCTTCCTGCTTCCTATTTGTCTTACCACTCAACACAAGAAGGCATGTGAGGCCACTCTGGAGATACACATTGTACTTACACTGTTACACTGTGGCTGGATCTCTCTTCTGCTTCCAAAAGACAAATGAGGGCAATATCCTCTGCCAAACCCACCTAAAGATGTTTTATAGCGCGTTATAGTTTTCAGCTGACTTTTCACTAAATGCAATGCTTATTTCCTTGGCCCTGCCAGCTGAAGATGGGTTTGGAATTTTTATTTTTTGTCTTTTTTTCTAGCTGGTTAAACATGTCACACTGCAGCAGGATAAGACAGATAAAGCTATGTGCTGTGCTGTGGGTACAAGTGGATACAAAAGAGCACACACTGAACTAACCCTCAAGTGGACTCCCTCAGTAACACATGTTGAAATACAGTATACAATAAATACAGCTGTGATATTTACATATGTTACAAATTTTACAGCAAATGGGCAGTCTCTGGAGGTCTTAGTGTTTAAGGGTCTTTATCACACCTCATTAAAGGATATCTAAGCCCTGTGATCAGAGGCCTGGTGAGGACAGCAGTATGCTGACAGAACACCTTATTATGATTCCTCAGCACAATCACAGTGAGACTTAGGCTCTTCATCCCATATTAACCCTGCCTGCTCTTCATCATTGCCCATTATACTATTAGGCCATGAACAAGCAATGCCTGGCAAACAAGTTGGCATCTTATTGAGGTCAAGATCACATTAAATCGAAAAGCCTGACCTAGAAAACCAGGTTCCAATTTTGTGCAAACAAGAATATGTGCTCTCAAATAAAATCCTTAAAAACCACATTCTTCACCTCACCTCCTGTGTCACACCAAGCTGAGCTTAGCAAGAGGTTCACTCAGGGTAACAGCTAAGTCAGGTGGGGAGTTACACATACAACCCCACATGAGAAACTTATGAGGTATTATTGTTTTTCTCCTTGTGATTTGCAGTGTGGGTTTTATCTGTCCAATAAGATCCCTATAAATCCAGGAGTGGCAAGCCCTGACCCTCGTGTAATCCCACTGTCTGGGTCTGCCTGCACATCTTTGTCTGACATAGACACAAATCAAAAAGCTACAACAGAAAGAGCACTGTGTGGTGGTTACAATTTAATGAGAATGCAACCAGAGAAAAGAAGGACAGGAAGTCATGAGCCATGACTTCTTTATGAAAACATTTCAGAATATTACACCTTTTCTAATAGTGTTAGAGACTTAGTATGAAACCTTTTCTTAAAAAAAAAGTAACATTTCCTTGTAGCTTGGGGTTACTGTTATTCTGAGTAGCCTTTTCAACACTTTAAACAGCTCATCGCCATCATTCATGTGTGTTGAATCAAAACTGAAAGAAAAAATAAATAAATAAAGGCTACATTTACCCTACAAGGACACTTTTCTGATTACCACTGAGGAAACTATTTGCTCAGTGCCTTTAGATGAAACGATCCTCTGTTCTGAAAAGACACTGTGAGTTAGGGGTTTGTTATGAAGGGAAACCCCGCTGCCCCGGCTAACTAAAGAATCACTGTTGTAGGTCTTCTTTAGTCAAAAGTGGCAGGCACAAACCATTCACAGTATCAGCTGCTAAAAAAATGCTGCGAAAACTGAGAAACCGCGGGGTGCAAAGGTTGTGAAAGAGAAACTATGAGGAGATATGGGAGAAGGACAGGGGGAAAAAAGAGATAAGTCGGGATATTTATGAATAAAGCAGAGGAAAAGGAGAGGAAAGGCACAGAGAAATTAAGAGGAAAGGCAGTGTCAGAGTGACATCTGATCGGTCAACGGACCCTCGATCTGGACACTAGAGATACAGATGCTATGCCAATCCAAACCAAGCCGAAAGAACAAACAAGGCCTTGAGGGGGTGGATGATTCCCTTTCCGGGGCGCTGGAAATCCCCCTTCTCTCTGCATTTGCTGTGACTAAAACCAAGTTGAAAATCAAAACTGATCAGTAATAATGTGACCAAGGGCTTCCTGTATTCAGGTAGAGTAACGAACGGAGCAACATGGTTGTCACCAGTTGTGCACTTGTAATTCAACAACTCTAAAAAATGTCACTATGCATTTGAGCAGCCCTCTGGTTTTGGTTTTCCACTCCAGTTCCCTCAGCTGGACTTCCGTGACACAAGAGTCCATGCCAGCTGTGTAGCTTTCTCTCTGCCCCTTCACCAGCTCTATGGATTTAATGGGCACCACACTGTTATCTATGAGTCGTGTGCTGCAGTTCCCCTTGCTCTTCCAAATCATTTTATAATGGCGAGGAAGAAAGTGACTTCAACATTTAAGAATAGTGTGCGGTGCGCCAATCTTTTGTAAGTTGGTTTTAAAAGACAGAAAATAGCCTGTAATGATAGAGAGCCCATGACTTTATTCCATAAAAAGGACTCAGTCAGTCACGTTTTGCACTTCTGGAGAGCCTTTGGGTGTATCTATATTTACTCAGTGATGACCTCAGTTCATGCAGAATAGAGTAGGCAGAGGGAATGCGCTACTTAATTTCTTTTCAGCCAGTATGTCTCATTTCTTCTATCATTGGGAGAATGAAGTTAATGTGGACAAAACTGAAACAAAGAACTAGTAAAACGATGGATACAGAAGGTTAGAATATAAAACGATGTCTCACCGATTTTCTCTCAGTCTTGATTTCCTGCAGGTAGCGCGAAAGCTCGGAGATGATTTGGGACGTCAAGTTCTCCGCTATAACCTCGTGTTGACCGGCGTAGTCATTTAACTCATTAAGTGACGTCAGGAAGGCTCGACAGAAGGTGTACCTGGTGAGACACATCAAGTGATGTCAGAGAAGAAAAGAGTCAAAATTTTTCTTACTTTTTTTGTGTAAATTAAAAATCCTTTAACTTACTTGCTCTCTTCCTCTTCTCGGGAGTTCTTCTTGGGTTGATATTTCTTTGATAAATTCCTGTAAGAGCAAAGAGTTCAGCTTCATCAGACATTTCTTACAGTATCTTCCTAAGAGCACAGTGTGCAGACGGGTAGTGCACCATTCACATTATATTTCCCTGACAGCGCCCTTATGGTACTGCCAAAGGATCATCCAGAACACCATTCAATCCAGCAGAGTGCTTTCTGCTCCTGCTACTACATCCCCTTTCTTCTCTTCAGGTCATAAATCATTGCCCCCGCAGGAGTAAGCATGCAGAACCAGTCACCAGAAACATCCATGCTTTTCTTATGCAGCCAGTGCCCTTGTTTTGACTCTGGCTGTATGTTAGTGGCACCAGATGAGTGCAGTGTGAGGAGGCGAAGCAAATATGAGATGAATGGTATACAGGGTTGTGCAAGGATGAAAGAAAATATGTCACTGCACTAGATGTAGGTTAATAGGTATTGTTGAGAATAGGCTGCAAATTAACAACTCTTTTTATGGTTATACAGTCCTTCAATGTCCTTCTCTCAACCTAGCAATCATTGTGTCGTTTGACAGGCTACGGTACATCATGTCACGTGAGGTTCATCATGACAGTGTGACACATTCACCACCGCTGATGCTCTGTTTGACGGTTACTCCGTCAACAGAACATAATAACATGCACTATGTTCTGATGGACTGGGGGCACATTGTGTACGGGTAATTAAAGAGCACTGGTGAAAATGAACAACCACGTGAAAAAAAGGGATGACCACAAAAAAGACAAGCCATTTATCTTTTCACTAAAACTAGAGCTAATGTGTGCTTATTAGAAATGTATGTTGAGTCACAATCTATAATAAACACTACAATAATTTGAACACCTGTCCACTTTTCAGTTCAGCTTTAAAAGAGCTGATAACCGTTGGTGGTAGTCCTTGTTGTGACATTACAGTACTGCATTTACTGACGAAATCTAAACGCCTCAGCATGTACATGTCGTAAAAGAGCATGCTAAATTCATGCTAAATAATGCACAAAAAAAACAACTTGCATATAAAGTGAGCCTGCACTCCTTCCATCTCTCTGCTCACATCCCCCACACCCCTCCTCCCTGGTGGTGTTTGCACTGTTGCTAGGCAGATCTACTGGACTATCTGTCTCCCTGTCCTTCTCACCTCCCATTTCTAATAATAGTGCTAGTTCCCCTAACTCATTCATTCACTCAGAGCCAGAGGTCATATACACTCACCTCAATAACATAATTAGGGTAGCAAATTAATTAGGAGGATTAAGCAAGCATTGTTAGGTGCATGTTTGTTTAAGTGTGTCAGGTTATGTCTGTGTGTGTCTGTCTGGAAGATGATGACTGCAACATATTGGTTGATCCTGTAACCACAGTAAAGACACACACATTTTTCACCCTCTCCCCGTCTCTTTTGTTAGCAGGACTTTATTCCCACTGTGTTATGGATTATGCCAGACTGGAATTTGGGGGAGGAGGAGGAGGAGGCATTAATGCATTGCCCTGCAATGACTAGACTGAAGCATTGTGCATGCTTACACCAATGCAGGGGAAGAGGATTATTCATGGATTAGTGCAGTACGTTTAGTATGGTCATTGAAATGGTACAAAGTAGTGTAATAGCCATAGATGACATTCAATTGGCGAAGAATGTAGGCTATTTCATACAGTTTTAAAAAATGTTTTTGCAATTGTATGATAACTGCTTAATCTCACTTATATAAGTGCTACACAAATACATTCAACTTACTTAGCTGGTGATCAATTACTAAATGGCCCAGTTCTGTTTGCTTTTTTCACAGTAGCATTTTGACTTTTCAGGGAACACCCAAGTGTAACTACTAACATTAGGGCTGAAACTAACAAATATTTTCATTATCGATGAATCATTTGATCTATAAAATGTCAGATAATGTCTTGTCCAAGTGCTTGTTTTGTCCAATCAACTCTCCAAAGCCAAAACGTCTTTAGTAAGTCCAAAGCAAGCTGGAAGCACAAAATGTTTGGCCTTTTTGCTTGAAAAATAACTGATTATTTTAACAGTCAATTGATTAATCTAATAATAATTTCATAACTCCAACTGATTCATTGTCAAAGAGAGCCATACCAGTAAGTCAGCATTACCTAAACCAGTGCTGTGAAACTTGCATAGTTATATGGAATGCCGCCATTATTAACATTTCTAAATACACCTGTGCCTTATGTGTTAAGACATGTCAAAAGGCCTGTTACCTCTTTAGGGAAAGGAAATCTCCCCAACAACACAGATGAGAGAATAGAGGACTAGATCCAAGGGCCAATTGAATTACTTTAGACCTAACAGCCCCGAGTTTCTTTTGGACTGAGCGTGCCTGTTGGATTAAACCTGATTTCATGAGCTATGCTGATTGCAAAGGATAATTAGTCCTGAGGTATCGCCAAGTAGCACCACAACAAAGAAGAACTGTATACTGAGAACACAGGAAAAATCTTTGACTCATGCTATCCTGTCTGTACATCCATTCCTCATTTTGGCCTTTTTCTGTCAAGTGTGCCAATCTGTGTGTGTGTGTGTGTGTGTCGTGTGCCGTTTGACAGCGGGCCCTCTGTATTAATAAGCATAGTGACTAAAAACATCTGCACCATCTGTGGAGCCTGAAGTTCAATAAAAGCCAACCTGCAACGGCAAGAAGAGTCCCCCCTGTTCTTTTGTCAAACATACTGTAGACAGATGCTGGCTTATTGAATTATGGGATATCTGCATGTGTTCAAATGCAAGTACGTTTTTACAAGTACATGTTTTGAGGCCACAATATTTGTTAAAAACACTAGCAAACTAGTGAGGCAGATATTGATTTGCATTTACAGTAACCAACAGCGCTGAATGTGCATTACTTCCCCCCGCCATGCAGCTATAGAGGTCCTATTAGATGACTCTGTTGGACTGAATATGGCCGGACCGGAACCAAACACAAATGATTGATAGAAGATGTGTTTGATTTGATGTGTTCACTGGGGGGCTGCTAGCTAACTAGCTAACCACCAACCGCAGATAGAGCAGCTGTTAGCAATTAGCTACTTTAGCAACAAGTAAAGTCATATGTCCATCAGGAAACTCTGGGTGAATGTCGTGATATTATTGGATCAAATTAGTTGGTTCAAGCCTACATAAGCCCACGTCAGATTTAGTTTAACCGGAAGAAAGAAAAAAAAAAGAAAAAAAAATTGGATTTGATTTGATTTTTTTTGTTTGTCTTGGCATTTACTGTTAAGTAGGTGCACAACCTGACCAGGGATGTGATCTGATCTAAAAGGGTTAAAAGACCATTTTTCATTTCATCTCGACTTTAAGCATCATGACAGAAGACATATGAGTGCACTGAATAATTTCTGTTCAGCATTTCTTTTTAATAAGTTTTGCATTGCCTCTTAATTAAAAAGCAAAGAATGAGAAAGACAGTAGAAAATCAAGACATCAAAACAATCTACAAATATAAAACAGCATTTTCGTGAAAAAATTGATTTCTGTTTGATATGCGTCTGTCTTTAAGTGTGAAAAGGGATATGCTCTATGGGTAATGCATGCATGCAAAAACAGACTACTAGTCCTATTATCTCAAGCTGAGTTAATTCTCATAAAGATGAGTGATGTGGTCTGTAGAGGGTTTGTTAAATGGGGTTGCTATGTGAATACTGGATTGGTATTGGCTAGTCACTATGCAATAGGGGGTTGGGGTCAATACTTAAGAGCATTAGCCATATTGCCAGGCTTCTTTAAAGATGAGGATTGTGGATTTGGGGAGTATCTCCTACTGTGTTGGGATGCAAGAGGCCTTAGGAGATGGATCTTCTCCATGCAGGACTGCTCATGCTCCCATCACTGCCTTTGAAAATCAGAGACTGCCCCAAAACAGAGTTTGTATGGGAATAACTGGAGGGGGCGGGGCAGACACTCGTAGTTGGAGGGGGAAAAAAATCTGGGTCAGACCTGGTGTTGATAATGCTGATACCTTGTAGTCTCTATGGAAACACAGGCTCCACCCCATCCCCCCACAACCTGACTTCCTCTTGCCTGAAGCACAAGCAAGCAACAGCGGATAGCATGCATGCACGAGAGAGTGAGCGAGGCAGCCAGAGTGACTCCTTATAGACAAAAAAAAGTGAAAGATGGAGGGGGGAATATACATCCTCTTTAGCACGACTGATTTGGCACTAAACTTACATAAAGAAATTATGCCTCAATGAAGAACAGCAATGCCTCTATGAAAATATGAACATTTTGTAATAATTAATATAACACTGCTAATGTATTATTTCCCACAATCAGGTCCCCCCCCCCCCCCCCCCCCCGGGGGAGGTCAGAGGTCTGGTAAGTAGGTCAAATCCTGCCATAGAGGGGTTTCTTTATCCAAGCCACCAGGATGGAGAGTGACCCTAATTTCCACCAGGCAACCCTGAATATGGATCATAGATCAGCTTGCGTATACTCACCTAATTTGTTTTGCATAGTTGATTTCAATCTCTGATCTCTCCTTGACAAATTTGGTGTACTTCTCCACATATTCAATCCCCCACTGTGTATGCTTCTCCAAGTTGTCAAACTGATCCTGCAGAAAGGAAGAAGACGTAATGTTTAAATCATTCAAATACAAGGGAGATAACAATCTGTCCTGATCAAGTATACTGAAAGGAGAGGAGGAGAAGTCAAGCCAAACAAAACATTACACCAACTTGGTGTGGATTTTATTGTACATACTGTAGGACCTAATGCTGAATTTACATTAAATGCCACAGTAAATTAAGTTTATTCTGATATTACCACGTATCCATCTTAGTATTTGAACACAGCCTAGATACAGATTCTTACTAATTGAAATGTCTAAGAATTCATCTAATACTCCCACATTTGTTGTGACCCATCAACCAAAGTAATTGGGCATATGTGTTAGCTCATATGGCTATTCAGCCAGTAATCAGATAAAAGCATCTGACCTACACTCATGGCTACAATTCTTACGTTAAACACCTTCAAAAGTCTTCCCATGAAATCCTTAATATTATCTTAAAGTGATGTCTGTCACAGAGGGTAAGTGCGGTTCATAGTGAAAACAGGCACTCACAGTCTACACTACTGATAACCAAATACAGCTGTTGGGGCTGAACTCATTATTCATGATGTGTTCATGACTTGTGAGGAAAAAATGAGCCTCCTGTTGGCTGAGGTCACGTCTTGAAATTCATCAGTTCAGAAAAAGGAGCATTTCATCTGGGATACCAATGAACACACGCACATGGCACAGCTCACATTTACTGACGATTATGTGGCTACGTCTGAACAAACTTCTTACTGCAGTGTGGGTGTAATTTTAAAGAACCAAAAAAAAAAAAAAAACAACCTTGGTGTTGCTCCAACAGTCCCCCATCCTCTCCTCTACCATGTCTGGAGTCTTCTTAATAGTCCAGCTAAAGGTTCTTCTAGCATGACACACTAAGCATGTGAAGTGTCAGCTCGAACATGTTCGTCTGATTCTCTGAGCAAACCGTGAGATGTGCTCTACAAAAGCTTGAAACATCTCTGCACTAAAAGCATTGACATTATAGACACAGGAAGTGGTTGTGGTGATGAAAAGTTTGAGAGTTAGGCTATGCTAGCCTACACAGTCATGCAGCATTTTGGGGTATCTTTAGTTTGTTAGAATTAAAGCATGTGGAAAATTCAGGTGGTGAGTCTTCATCTGTAGTTGAAGTCTCATCATGTCATTTTAAGTGTGATAAAGTCTCTCAAACAACTTTGAAATAGAATCCACAAATTAAACAACTTCTTTGAAGCACTCAAGGACAACAATAGAGAGTACTTTGAGCGAGAGGGACTTTCCAGTCTGCATTGTCTGTTTCAGTGAGCAATCACTCATAAACAAGCCATTCAATGGGAAAATTGCAAGATAAAACCAAACAATTAGACATTTCACTGAAATAATGAGGAAACTCTTGTTTATTTCCTTCAGTTTCTGCATCTAGAGACCTATCCACTGTTTTTCCTGTTTCCACATCAAGCTTCCCCTACCTTTATGCCCAAGAGCACGCTCACTCTCATACCTATTTGCCAATTAAAGTAATCAAACAACATTTACTTCATTATCACTAGTAAGCATCAACCATTCTTGGAGAAAAGCAATCAGCACACATCACTGCAGCTACATCATGCACAAACCCTCCCCCTCTAACATACACTCTTCCACACACATAACTCAGATTACCCTTTTATGCAGGGGCACCATCTTATCCAGCGTGTCTCCGTGTGGAATGTGTACCCTTTTGAAATATCCAAAATGTCCATCCAACTGGCCCACCCCCACCCCCCCTCCAAAGCAGCTCAACAAAAGGCTGAGGTTAGGTTAGAGAATGCATCCACAAGACCATTTCCCAGGTATCCAAAGCAAGTACAGATTAGTGAGAGCGTGCCTGGGTCGGGAACAATGTCCGCTGACCCCACTCCCACACAATAACAAAGAAACTGCACAGTCGTGGCAAGTAATTCCTGATTGTCTGGAAAGAGCAGGAGTCCCAAAGAGCAAGGCAGGAACCGATGCAGCACACTCTGCAATCTGAGGTCACGGCTGCTCACAGCATTCAGGCTCAATGCTCCATCAGGCGTAAGGTGGAATAAGTGGGATGGGAGAGGAGGATAGTGAGAGAGAGCGGAAAAATGGAGGGAGGGGGCTTGAAAGGAGTAGAAATGACAGAAGAGGCGGGATTACACGGGAGGGGATTAAATTCTGGGGTGGGGGTAGGAGGCAATCCTACACTGCTGCGACCTCATAAACTTTTCTCTTTACCATTTATAAAATATATATAAAATAAAGGTTATGGGGAGTCATACTGTGCTCATGAATCTTTGCTAATATCAGATGGGAGAGAAGAGGCAGTTGACTCGAGTAAAATGGAAAGTCATCAATGCAATTCTCCAGCTACAAGAGAAAGAGCAGATTAATAAATTATGAGTCAAAGTGAGGGAAATAACAATACATTACGTGAAAGTGTGTCAGACGCGAGCATGCAGTCTTGTAGTCTCCATTATCTTCCTGTGAAATACCTACAGCTGTGTACATTTTTTATATTTTGTAAATAATTTGGCACTGGCCACTGGCAAAGAAAACAAAGTAGACAAGCACATGAAGTAGAGGAAGAATTAGTCTATCGACAGACAAGTAACCAGCAACTATACTATAATTTTTTTTATAAATTTTCAGTATCTGTGGTAGTTTGTAAAGAAAACTTTTTACAGAAAGTAAATATAAATCAACATTTCTAGTGGTATTACTGGCTATGATCTTGGTTATGAAAACTATTTCCAAGACAGACGTAAAGACAAAATGTTTTCCCAACTTTTATCCCATCAGTAGGACAAGACGAATTTCAAAAATTTGTAAAATGAATCCTCTTTCCAGTTACTTGAGATAGTGTGCAGTGTTTCTGCTTTACACAACAGAAACACGATGGATATTTTACAAGCACAGACCAGGTAAAGCAACAGTGAACAGCGAACACACAAGTGCATTTGGTACCACGTTGGTTTCGATCATTCTGATAGGCTGCTAGGTCATTAACAAGCCTCCTCCACATACGTGGCACCTGCTGCTGTGAAAATGGTGGAAAAACACGAGTTCTGCATCCTTTCCACAACTTTATAAAACAGACTGCTGATAGAGAACTTCAGCAGACCAGACACATACAGGGAGAGAGTGAAAGAAAGTGGCGGGGCAATCGGTGTGTTTGTAAGAGACCCGAGGTGCAGGTGCATGCACCTCTGGTGCGTGGAGAAAAGTAAACTGGAGGGAAAAGCAAGGTGAGCAGATTCAAGTAGTGAGTAAACACTAAAACAAGGTGTAGAATGAAGTAAAATGAAAATGGTGATATAAGAAATAACCTACTTGAAATATACCACCCTCCCACCCGTCTCCGCCACAGTTTTGGTGTGCATGCAAATCAGGGTTGGCTGAACAGTGAACAGTTACTCATATTCAAACCTGCAAAGGAATTTCTGTAAAACCTCATCCTATAGCCCACGTACTAAAGACTAACAACTCCAACTGATTCTGTCATCTGCAGCCTTTGACACCTGACCTTGTTCCTGCAGGAGGGAAAAGGTGGGGGATCCGTTCAGGAGACGAACCATCCCCACTCTGCTTGTTATTTCAGGACACAATCCCACTCACTGTGATGCATGTACTATTGTGGTAATACATGAAAGAAAATAAATAGAACTGTGCGGCTAAATATTTTTTTATTATCCCGGATATGGGAAACAGCTTCAAATGGAGTACAAAGGAGACACCTAGCAGTTACTAAATATATGTAGGTTGCCCATGTGCTGTAAGAAAACAAACACAAACTTGTTTAAGGATCAGCCACCTAACCTCCAACCCTTCCCAACTGGTGTTGGAGATTATGGTGCAGTTTAATGTATTAGACTGCCAGTTAATCTGGACTAATGCACATTATTTAGCAACCATTCTAGATCCGATCTCTTGATGGCACCCACACTGAGGGCTTGTTGACCTGCATCCCTACAAAACAGAGGCTTTCTCTTTTCTCACTGTTTAACAGCAAAAACACAAGGAGGAGCATACCACAGTCTCATATTAATCCCATGTCTTGGTCATCTCCTCTAGAAGCAAGGAAAGGCTGTAAGGATTTGAATCATTGCAGCAACCACAGAAGGCAATAGAGAGCAACAACACTGCTACTAATGTTGCCAGAACAGTATCAGTAGGGGTTATAGTGAAGAAATGACACAACACAAAGCACATCTCTGGCACATTAAATAGCTTTAGTGGCACTGCTGTTGATTTCAAAGACACAAGGTCGCCAATAAACGGAGCATGTGAACGAACTGTTCTGTGACCTAACCACACATGTCAGTGCAGACAGGTTTCACATAATAACACACCTGTGAACCGCAGAAGCAAGTTGGTTCATGATGCAGGCATGCAGACAACACTATATAAGAACCATTACGTCATCTCTGTTTTGAGGAAGATGAAGGCAAGAAAATGAGATCTGTGATCTCATTTTCATACAGAACGTCAAAAATAGACAAATCCAGTGTTTTCAGATGCAAAGCAGACGAGTGGCAAAGTGAGTAGAACCGCTTTACAGCTAGGCTTCCCTTTTTTTAAAAACCCCGAACAAAGGCTCCTGGGGACACTTCGTGTTTTATTACAGCCTTACCACCTCTGCAGAGGTCAGTTTGCTGCTCTGATGATCACAGCAAAAATCAATATGCCATTAAAAACAAAAGAGCATAGAGAAGAGGAAAAAGGGAGTTGTTTCATTGGTAGCCTGAGGGGAATAAACAGACAGCCGGAAATCGCTGACTAAGTTTAAAAGATGTAAATGAAGATGTAAAACGTCATGTAATGGACGAAAAACACTCAAATCTAGGCTAATACACATGTAGCATGGGGACAGACACCACAATTGGTAATTCTATGCAAATTCATCTCAATAAATAGATTTCTCATTAAATGAACCGACTCTAAACATATAACTGCATTTGTGTCTTTACTTTCGTTAAACCTTTAATAAGATTAATATTATTGTTAACCTCTATCACTTTCAAAAATAACAATTTTCCTGTGAGCATACATAAAAGAAATTATCTTTAACCTTCCAAAACTTGACTTTGATTTTCAAATCTAAGGCCCCATTCACACTACTGCGTTTTCGTTTTAAAACAGAGACCTTTTGCTACATTTGCACCTCCCGTCCAGACTAAAACATCGAAAACAAAGACCTAAAACTGAGAAGTTTGAAAACACTGCCGACACCATTTTTTGTTTTAGTGAAGACGAGCAAAAAGGGAGGACTTTAGAAACAATGATGCAGATCATGTTTGGCTCTCTGACTGGATCTTATAAGTCATGCAAAGAAACACAATGCTACTGCCACAAGGGCTGAGGGGACAGATTATCTGCTGGAAGGAGGATAATGGACAAGAGGCCTATAGATGCTTTTATGGTTTAATTCGTTGAGCAAAGACAGTAGGTTGGTGGGTATGGGCCTGTGCTGACTGAAACCCCATATACCTCATTGTCCCACGTAGCGCATGTCTTGACTTTGAGTTACCATTGATTAGTTGTTGGAGAATGGAGAAAAAGTGGTTTGTCAGAAACTTTAACTGGAAGTTACTGATTGAGTTGTACCCATACGCCTATTTAGTCTGATTAGTAAAAAGAGAGAAGATGGTTTCTGTGTTTTTTTATGCTCTTGTCTATTAGAACCATTATGGTAAACATGAATGAGTTATTATCAGCAGTCACATTAGCTATCAAACCCCAAACTGCAGTGAGAAAGAGAAGGTTGAGGAAGGAACTGCATTCATTCAAAACTGTTCATTAGGCTGTGAGGGTCCTGCCAAGTCAAATAATAAACAAACAGCCTAATTGTGCTCGCAAAACTAGCTCTGCCTCGTCGAATGAAGCAAAGTAGCAGAAAATGTCTGATGCTCTGGAGTTGTTC